TGTGCACCTGAATCAGATCATCTGTACACCTGAATGTAAACCTGCCTGTACACCTGAATCAGATCATCTGTACACCTGAATGTACACCTGAATGAGATCATCTGTACACCTGAATGTAAATCTGCCTGTACACTTGAATGAGATCATCTGTACACCTGAATGTACACCTGAATGAGATCATCTGTACACCTGAATATAAACATGCCTGTACACCTGAATGAACAAGTGAACCTGAAGGAAACAACTGACCGTCATCCTAACTGATCCTGTCGGGAGAAGGGAACATCTCTATCTGGATAAGGTGAGAGATATGATAGAAACAATGCACGTGAACATTCTGGACGATAAGCAGTTTATGAAGGCTATACCACGATGCACAAGTATATATATTCGAACTACACATTTAAACTTTTAAATGTGTAGTTCGAATGACATATCAAGGAAACAAGACATTTTAGTTGTGGTAAATATAAACATACGCACTTCTGGCTGTGATGTTGGTGGTTGTCTCATCACTTCCAGCTCCCCCCGCCATGTATAGGGTGGTGCAGTAGTATGTAGAAGCAGCATCAGTACATCTCAGACCTGTCAGGGTGAACTGTATACTGCCTGTTGCTCCAGTAATAGAACCTGAGGTTGTCATCCGCTGTTGTAGACTTGTGTCCACTACTTGTACTGACGAATCTCCACTGCCTATTCGTATTATAGGCAGCTGATTAGAACCAGTAGAAGATCTCTTGCCAATCTCTATGCTGTACAGTTGTGTTATTCCAGGTACATCTGGACTACAACTTACAGTCAACTGAGATGTTGGGCTACTTCCCCCAATAGTTATTTGTGTTGGTGATGTGGTCAGTCTTGCCCCTGTGACTGAGAAAGAAACACTTGTGTTTATGTCAGTGAGTGATGCACAAGTCGCAAATTCAACAAAATGTCGGGTTATTCTTTCATGTAAAATATCTGATGTGAACATATATAGCATTGTAATTAACGTACAGTCAAAGCCCATTCAGAAGAATATGACAATTCTTGTAGTGGCTACAGGCTTGCCCCTGTGACTGAAAAAGAAAACTTGCATCAGTCGACAATTCAACAAATGACTCTTCCTATAGTTACTATATATATCGCACATTCCAGGCAGCACAGATCACTATTTGAGGGCATGCGGTTATAATGGCTGATTCTGCATATTTTGCAAGTACCTTGTTTCAGAACAAGTTGATGTGATGAGAATTTGATTCACAGTGAACATAACTAATAAGCTGATATCTATGTTTATATGTCAGCACTAATTGTGTACTCACTTCCAGGGAGAAAGGTGATGAAAATCAGACGACAAAAGGGATGACAAGGCTTCATGCTTCTTTCTTCAAAAAGTGAATTCCTGTTCCTGAAACCTGTTAATGTATGTCTGAACAAAAGATTTAATTATACCTCTGGTTTATTTACAGAAATTATCTGGCGAGCTGGTGATAGTTTTACTTTTAAAAAATTTACCCCTCCCCTTCCCCCAAAATGAACACAATCAATCACATCTACGAAATGACGTTAAACACACCATGTCTAAGTAAACAACACTCCTCTGATTGGTGAGATGGAGATTTCCTAAGTTTGTTTATATGCTGAGGATGATAAATATTTCAAAGGAGAAGTTTGGTTTTGGAGGTATGTGGAACACCGAGCTATTGGCTGATATGAATAATCAAAATGAACCAATTTTTGCAACACGCAGGCCAAGCAAAATGTTCTTCAAACGAACTGTGCTCAGCCTCCATGGAAAGAACCATTACATGCCTACATGAGAAAGTGGTGTACAGTAAAACATGCAGTGCCGAGTATAGGTTTGCCATCACACACACACAAAAGGTAAATGTCACCACGCAGCTTCTCAACAGGATGCGTTAGTCACCGATCACTACAGTTATAGACAGAATCGAGGTATGCATCCATACTGTTTTTTATGTATCTGACTTTGTCCATATTAGCATATTAGAATACAAATGTCACGCCAGTGTCTTGAACACTATAACACTTACACCTGTACATGTGAACCTGACCAGCGGTTGGAATCCCAGCCTGAACGAGTTCCTTACTTGTTGATTGCTCTAGCTGTAACGTCTGCGCTATTGTACACCACTTCGATGTAAATAGTCTCTAGGGTCACGGTGTCAGCAAAGTGAAATTATACTTGTGCTTATTTCGGGATCGCCCCACTGTGGAGCGACGGTAAGGGTTTGGGTAATATTTGTGACTATGTCCATATCATATTGATACCAACATATAACAACCAGTAAAAGGCCTTTCCTTATTGTCTTTACATCGATCACAACAATGACTGTGAACACTAAACACACCTACCTCTACATGGTATTACGTCCACAATTAGAAGTCCCTGCCTGCGCAGTATACGCCAGTCTCGTGAAAGCAGCAGTATAAATACATTTACAATTCACGTTTAGGGTCATGGGTCACTGCGTTGTTAGGAACATGCACAGTGAAGAGGAAAGGTGAAAGTTGGGGTAACATTGTAGTGGTCGGTATACAGATAATCGGGGACAGAGACTTGCACTTTCTGTTATTGATGGTTCAACCAAATGGACAATTATTATTACAACATCGCGGTCAGAAATATCACTGATAGATCTATACACAGTACAGTTTCAAATTCTGAATATATTAGTGCCTCTGTATGGGTTTGTGACGGGTGCTACCAATGGGTCAAGATGTGTTTTTCGCGAACACCTGGTATCATCACTATTTGATAGTGATTCATTAACACATGCTCATGATATAGTCTAAATCTAATGAATATGAAAAAGTGTTTTCGCTTTTATTTAACGATGTAGAAAGATTTCGGATATGCCTAAAAGTTTTCTGGAAATAATAACATTAAAGTATTCGATAACTAAACAGGAAAACCTCTTTCTAATGTTCTCTGATGCTATGTAAGACAGAAGGTGGTGTTGTCTTGGATGAGGAGGATAGAGTATCCGTTCATTTTACCATGATAAAACTCCAAACCAATCATGATCAAGCCTAATGAGATCTTCGGAGGCTAAACTCAAGATTGAAAAGGCAATCCGTGCAATGATGGATACACCTAAGCAGTGTATAAACATTGCCAGTTTTAAGTATAAACCCTACATCAGTGTCTAGACGGAGAGTCACTCGTCGAAACATACATCCAGCTAAACCAACCCGACAACTAAATTCCATCCTAGCGTATTTTCTATCCCTCATCCACTCTATTAGCCAAATTTACATTTATCCGATAAAAGCATGCGCTTACTGTATGATTTATGGTAATGCAACAAGAAAATAAACAGTGTGAAAACATGAATAAATTAAAATGTCAGAGACAGATTATTGTTGCAACTGTTTCACTACTTCAGTTGTGTTAATACCTAATATCTGTCTGTACCGATTAAATATTAAATATGAACGGTAAATGGTTCATGGTACGTTGAGCCCACATTGGTTCATGAAAACGCATATTTATCTGTACACATTTACACGGTTTCTATTTATTAGGAAAGATAAAGTTTACCTCCATCTATAAAGTCGAGATAGACATATAAATCAAATCTATTGCATAATGCCTACAACACCCTTTCCAGTCCCTATAACTCTCTCTTCAAAACACTCTCTACAACAAATGTCCGCTGTCTACCTTCTTATTTACTTACTACACTACATCAACATTTTCATTTACCTCATTCACTTTCATTCAATATTCCAATTCTTTGTCCTCTTTCTCATTTTACAAATTCCACAGGTCAACCAACTGGGCCTAAACACCATGTGTACATGCGGGAGGTAGTTGACGCCATTTTGTCGTCTTCGTGCAGAATTGCTGCAATTTGTCCTATACACACACGTACGTCATAAGAGAATGCCTGAAGGCGTTTTTAAATATCTTGACAACGAGGGCCACGTATTGGTACTCCGTCAAATTCCGTCACTTTCTCTATTGATCTTAGTAAACCTAAATGTCTATTGTTTCACTATATGTAATACCCTCATTACAGTATATGGAGGTGAACGGTTACAAGTGCGTGAATGTTGTTGTTTTATGCAACATGTGTCACTCTGAAGAACGTGTCACTTTTGAAAGTCTTATATTCTGGCCAGAATTGTACCTTTCACGATTCAACCAAGGATTTGTTGTCGTTGTAAGCAGCCTCTGAAGGTCCTTGTATGAAGCTAACTTGTATATATATGCATATATACGCTCTGCATAAACATAAACACGCAAGTACCAATAATTTTGCTTATGCACTTTTGTTACCCTATAAAGAAAAGAATAAACATATTAACGTTTGTGAAAGTTTATTTTACGATTCAGTGTATTATACAACAGTCAGCATTAATCGTTGTGGTATAGCTGGAATATTGCTCAACGCGGCTTTACTCTTAAGGCTCATTATATGACCCCAACTTGAATATGTAAGCACACATACAATGTGTGTGGAAATAAACATGTAAGAACTAAAGTGACCATTGACATTTGTAAACATCTGTAAAAGTGTATTCTGCATAAGCATCAATCACGATCAATCACTATCACTGGTGGTAAACATACCCTTTGCCAATGTATAAAGGGTTGGTCTTGTATGGAGTCAGGCACGAAGTATGTGGACGTATACCACATGCAAAAATTAATTACATTGAACATGAGGTGAGGTGAGGTGAAATTGGGTTTAACGTCGCGTCCAAGATTATTGCACTTATATAGCGACGTGCATGCACGTGTATATGTGTGTGTGGCTGCTTGTACTAGTCAGGACTGATGCCGATTTATAGTGCTAGCTCACTGAGATACCATGCCGCAGTTTAACATGAATACCCCACTCAGACACAGTATACTGACTCCGAGCCGACCAGTCCTTGTTTTAGCCCCTTAATGCCGAGCGCCAGACAGGGTAACAACAAGTACAATCTTTTAACGTCTTTTTGTATGACGCGGCCCGGGATCGAACCCTGGACCTTCCGCTCTCCGGGTGGACGCTCTACCACAAGACCACGGAGGCGGTACATTGAACATGAAGGTGTTCCTTATACTACTGAACCTCAAATACAAGAAAGGTTTTCCAACTATGTTCATTAGATCTTTTTTTATTTTCATTTCTAAACGAATGTCCAAACAGAACTTAGGTTGACTTTCATGTTTTAGCATTCACTATTGAAATTGCATCCAAATGTGCTTCCTTATTTCATATATTCTGGTATGTTCGTATCTTCTCATACGTGTTGGGAATGGCAGCAGTCTCAGTCTGAAGGGCATCGTAGTGATTCCTGTCCACAGGAATTTCGTACTCATCGCCTGAACATAAACAGAAATATATATATTAAGCACATTATCAATGCCTCTCTGACATATATAACATTGAGGGAAAAGACAGTTTTCATTGAAATATGTACACATACACTTGTATCTGAATGACGTGAGTAAGTGAATGCTTGTTCCAAAGTCTATGTCAACATATATTTCAGGGTTTTACATCAGCTTGTTGATTAGCCTACATTACAACATGCCACCGGGACAAGTTGACAAGATGTCTGCTAATTTATTGAGTCTAGTCAGCCAACCATCTTTCGTCAGCTCTTTAACCCAGCGACCGCCTCCGTGGTCTAATGGTAGAGCGTCCGCCCGGAGAGCGGAAGATCCGCAGTTCGATCCCCAGCCGTGTCATACCAAAAGACGTTAAAAGATGGTACTTGTTGTTACCCTGTCTGGCGCTCGGCATTAAGGGGCTAAAACAAGGACTGGTCGGCTCGGAGTCAGTATACTGTGTCTGAGTGGGGTATTCATGTTAAACTGCGGCATGGTATCTCAGTGTGCTAGCACTATAAATCGGCATCAGTCCCGACTAGTACAAGCAGCCACACACACACACATACACGTGCATGCAATATAAGTGCAATAATCTTGGACGCGACGTTAAACCCCATTTCACCTCACCTCTTATACCAAGCACGGACCGCTTGGTGCATGTACACCTCTGGAGTCACTATTTAGAATCTCTGGGTTGCACACTTTCATACTTTTGATATACGTTGACAAACTCTGACCTTGTGTTTGGATTTCGACAGGACAGATCACTGTGGCGGGAGTCTGTATGCTGTTGTGGTTGAGACAGGATAAATGTTACACGCGCATGGAGATCAATATACTTGCCAACAAACCAACGATATTTTAAAAGCTCTTTAGCAAAAAAACATTTTCAATTGAAGTTCTACATATCATTAATATGTTTGTTGAGAAGTTATGAATCTTTCGAAGAATTATTGCTGGAAAGATGAACCTACTTGGACATTACTGGCTTTTTTGTATTACTGGTTTTCTTGGCACCTGAAACAAGGAAATATTTTAATTAATAATTGAATAAGATAAATATCACAATAAATGTCAATACCAAATGTATAGTGGATAATGTCATTGATGTGATAATCGGATGGACTTGACAAATGAAATCACAAAGCAGTAACCCCTTTTAATACGTCCCATACACCGATACGATGCGAAGTTGCAAAATACACTATTCTAATCCTAATGCTTGCATGCATATTAAGCACAGTGAGAGCAATATATATTGTTAACTTCATTCTATGCAGTTGTTCAATTGCTGCATTCAGTGGGATATGATTTAGTGCAGGCATTGCATATTAATGTGGGTTTGTTTACATTTTGTAACCGACCTAACATTCTGAATTGTAGTTTCATTTTGATATAGATCCTCCAAAACAGAAGTATGGGAGCTCCCTGTGACTAAGGAAGATATTGTTCTGAGGTGAAGGGAATTGATCAGAATAGACATAAACTTTACACCGATGATGTGATTTATTGAATGAAAAGTGGTCTTTCTGACCAGGTTTTTATACATTGAAAGAGCTGGAACCTGTGTCCATTCCATCCCTTTGTTACTTAAGACTCTCCAAATACAATAGAGCACGAGAGGGTGGTCTTTGCTGATACTCTCATGCGAACATTGGACATAAATGGTGAGGCCAAACTTGGCACAAGTGTCACTGTGAACCATGCCAACAAGACGACCACACAAAGATCGAGTTGAAGGCAATGTGATGACTCCAGGATGGCACATCCATCAGTAATGCAGCAGATGTCCCACTCCATCGTCCTCAGACTATGGAATAGATTTCATACCACTGGCAGGTTCAAATGTAAACCACGTTAAAAACTTAGACCAGACAATGGTTATCCTTCAGCCTTCAGGACTTGCAACAACGCTCCACCACAGTCAGTGCCCTTAGGCTACACCTGGGGGCTGCCACACACACAAAACTCAGTACCGAGACCATGAGGAACAACATCCGAGCTGCCAACATGTGGTCACTTATGTCCCCCATTTCGACCAGTTTATCGAGTCGACCTGGTGCAGATCTCATCTCCTGTGGAATACGCAATATTTGTCGCAAGAACTCTCTACTCTCTTTCTGCAGTTTAGAATTCATGCCTGGTTCGTGTCCTGAGAGTCCCTCATATAAAAGATGCCACTCACAGTAGCCATTATCACAGTACTCCCAGTACCATGCCAATCTTACCGTTGTATGATACACTTTCCACCTCAGGGTATTACCAGCCCTGAAAGTTATTAGGCAAGGAGCCTTCTTGCAGCATAATGTAAGACTTCACAGAGCAGGTGTTGTTACTGCCTTTCTGTAACATATTGACCAGTGCCCGCCCGGTCATGTATCTATCGAACAACCATAGGACGTCATTGGCGGACGCGTGCGTCAGAGCCATCGTCAGCCATCAAATCTGCAACAGCCCAACAGTTCAATTCCTCAAAGTAGACTGGCTAGCCATCCCCGAAGACTCTGCGGACATCAGTGCGACGTCGTTGCTGGGAGTGCATGCAGCACAGATGTGGTCATACACATTACGCTATCTGACCATGTAACTCTTTGCTTTATGACCAGTGTGTGTTCATTCCCTGTATCAAGGCTCTTATAATATTTATTCCCTCATTTGACAGTTTGTATGCAGAGATGATTATGCTTGTTTTAAAGAGGACATATGTCAACGTCTGTATTGTTTTCATGGCATCAGCTCGTGAATACAAGATGTCCACATATTTGTTTGAGAAGGATATGTAAGAAATGGATCCATGGCAGAACCCCAATGCTAGGTGGATCGTCTTATAGATGCATGTGTAATTGTCAAGTGTTGTATGACGTCATACATCTAAGTTATATGCATGTTACGGTAGAAGAACTGTTAAATTTCCACCATCCTTTACTCACCCGATATGCAGTTTGCTATTTCGCCCCTGTGGAGGAAAGCCAAACCCAGACAGATGGCATCTACGACCAGCATCACACAGACACCTATAGCCACTCCACCACCAATAGCGGATTCCTGGCTGTTTTGTATACATGTCCCTGTCGTTTGAAATAAAATATGCATTTCTTAAAATATGTAAAGGATGTACACAATTTCCATTAAATCTGCACTTTACATTATCTTCACAAACTATAGCATTGTTGCAATACAAATTTAACTAAACCAATTTAACCATCAGTGGTTCGTTAAAGCTGACATCACCTCAAGGTTTTCTAATTTGGATGTTTCATTTGTTGTGTACATTCTTACCATGATGACTATGAAATATGTCACGTGGTTGTATAATATAAGAAAATGAGCAGAAATATACCACCTTGATAATGCCTAATAATTCTGTTGCGATACGACAAGAAACGAAGAGTATGTTGTACACAGTGATGAAAAGAGAGTCTTTTCCCAATAAATCGGAAACAAAAGCTCCCGGTTTGTTTAAAATGTAACGTCAAATATGTATATTTGTGTGTAGCACTAAGTAAAACATTTCGAGTAGGAAAGACGTGAGTGTCATGTGAGACCTTCACAGATGTGATCCGTAAGTAAATTACTTCTCAGATCCGTTTACCACTAATCCTTGCTTTGTTTCACTTCAGCAAACCCACCTGTTGTAGACGTTTTGATACGTGATGTTGGCCCTGGAGGTTGTTGACCTGGAAATCAAGACAAAGTTGTAGTTGTTAGTAAATAAGCCTGACGGAAGCCTGAATTGAACTGAACCGGTGAACCTTTATCTTTGTTGTTGTCCAGCTACCATTTGTGTTAAATTTCATAATGTATATGGCGTTACAAAAAATCACATAGGCATAATCTAGATACCAAAATGAAATTTCCAGCTGCATGATGTACATGGTATAACAGATTAAATATGAGCCTGACCCCGATCCCAAACGGAAATTCCCAAATGTAATTATGGCCTTGATGTTTGAATGGTTGCTGTCCTGATATTGAAACCTTACAGACATTTGAGTTCAGGTTCAAGATGTACGTATGATAGATGATATAACTGATGTATTTTCCCGACAAATTAAAGCAAAAACTCCCGCTATGTAAAAACTTTAAATTCAAGTAGTATGACTTCTTGATCTGCAAACCAAATACGTTACAAATGTTGAAGCAATCCTAACTATGAAATCTTACCAATAACAAGAACTGTTTTGTTGTCACTGTAGTCTTCACTAACGACTGAACACCTGAACTGTCTCCCATTGTCTAGATTCGAGACTGTATGAAGCAGTGTTGACGCCCCGTTATACTGACATCCCCCTGACACAGACACGGGAGTAGCAGGCTGATAGGTGATGTTTTGGTCGTTTGGATATCGTGTCCAGGAGGTGAACTCGTTGTCTATAGATCGCCACTCCCATGTCCACAGGTTCTGGAGATTGTTGTTATCAAACTGGTTCCCGATCCTCCCAGTGCATCTGAATGAGATCAGCTGACCATTGTCATAACTGACCCTGTCGGGAGTAGGGAACATCTCTATTTGCTCTGGATAAGCTTTAAGGAAAATACAATATATGTGTATAAAAAAAACAAGAAATATCTTGTTGTCATTATAGTCTTCGTGGATGGTGGGGGTTGGTGGGTGGGTGGGGGGTGGGGGTGGGGGGTGGGGTGGGGGTTTTGGTGGGAGGGTGGGGGGTGGGGGGTGTCATGGCTGGCCCAGTCGTCTAAGGCGCCGCGATTCCGCTGTGCAGAGTTGCATCCCTTGCACCTATGATTGTGGGTTCGAATCCCGGTTCACCGCGAATATGGTTCTAGGTTTGTCAGTACCATACCCGTGTTCGTGGGTTTCATCAAAGTGGTATCACTCTGGGCTTTCCTGCCAAATTAAGCGGACAGGAAACGATTTAACTGGAATGACAGAACACCTGAACTGTCTCCCATTGTCTACATTCGAGACTGTATGAAGCAGTGATGTTTGATGCCCCTGAGACAAACACGGGAGATGGGTGGTCGAAGGTGATGTTTTGGTTGTGGATATCGTGTCCAGGAGGTGAACTCGTTGTATATGTCCGGCACTCCCATGTCCACAGGTTCTGGAAATTGTTTTTATCGAACTGGTTTTGAAACCTGCCTGAACACCTGAATGAACATGTGAACCTGAAGGAAACATCTGACCTTCGCCCTGACTGATCCTGTTAGGAGAACATATTTATCTGGATAAGGTGAGAGAAATGATAGAAACGATGCATGTGAACATTCTGGACGATAAGCAGTTTATGAAGGAGAATGGCTATACCACGATGCATATATATATCAAGGAAACAAAGCATTTTAATTGTGGTAAATAAAAACATACGCACTTCTAGCTGTGATGTTGGTGGTTGTCTTATCACTTCCACCTGTCCCCGCCACGTATAGGGTGGTGCAATAGTATGTAGAAGCAGCATCTGTACATATCAGATCTGTCAGGATGAACTGTATGCTGCCTGTTGCTCCAGTAATAGAACCTGAGGCTGTCATCCGCTGTTGTAGACTTGTGTCCACTACTTGTACTGACGAATCTCGACTGCTCATTTGTATCATACGCTGATCAGAACCAGTAGAAGATTTCTTGCCAACCGCTATGTTAAACAGTTGTGTTATCCCAGGTACATCTGGACTACAACGTACAGTCAGCTGAGATGTTGGGTTCCTTCCCCCAATAGTTATTTGTGTTGGTGATGTGGTCAGTCTTGCCCCTGTGACTGAGAAAGAAAAGCTTGTGTTTATGTCAGTGAGAGATGCACAAGTCGAAAATTCAACAAAATGTCGGGTTATTCTGTCATGTAAACTATCTGATGTGAAACATATATAGCATTGTAATTAACGCACAGTCAAAGCCCATTCAGAAGCATATGGCTCTTCGTGTAGTGGGGGCGGTCGGGTAGCCTAGTGGTTAAAGCGTTCGCTCGTCACGCTGAAAAACCGGGTTCGATTCCCGACATGAGTAAAATGTGTGAAGCTCATTTCTGGTGTCCCCCGCCGTGATGTTGCTTGAATATTGCTAAAAGCGGCGTAAAACCATACTCACTCACTCACTCTTGTAGTGGCAACAGGCTTGCCCCTGTGACTGAGAAAGAAAACTTGCATAAGTCGACAATTCAACAAATATCTGATGTGAAAGCTATATAACATTGTAATGCACCACTGTACAGTCGAAGACATTTCAAAAACACATGACTCTTCATAGAGTTACTTATATGTCGCACATTCCAGGCAGCACAGATCACTATTTGAGGGCATGCGGTTGTAAGGGCTGATTCTGCATACCTTGAAAGTAACTTGTTTCAGAACAAGTTGATGTGATGGGATTATGATTTACAGTTAACAAAACTAATAAGCTGATATCTATGTTTATGTGCCAGCACTAATTGTGTACTCACTTCCAGGGAGAAAGGTCATGAAAACCAGAAGACAAAAGGGATGACAAGGCCTCATGCTTTTTTCTCCAAAAAGTGAATTCCAGTTCCTGAAACATGTTAATGAATGTCGGAACAAAAGATTTATTTATACCTCTGGTGTATGTATTTACAGAAATTATCTGTCGAGCTGATGATAGTTTTAGTTTTAAAAAAAGTAACCCCTCCCCTTCCCCCAAAATGAAAACAATCAATCACATCTCCTAAATGACGTTAAACACACCATGTCGAAGTGAACAACACTCCCCTGATTTGTGAGATGGAGATTACCCAAGTTTGTTTATATGCTGAGGATGATAAATATTTCAAAGGAGAAGTTTGGTTTTGGTGGTATGTGGAAAACCGAGCTCTTGGTTAATATTAATAACCCAAATTGAACCAATTTTTGCAACACGCAGGCCAAGCAAAATGTTCCTCAAACGAACTGTGCTCAGCCTCCATGGAAAGAACCATTACATGCCTACATGAGAAAGTGGTGTACAGGAGGACATGCAGTGTCGAGTATAGGTTTGCCATCACACACAATAAAGGTGAATGTCATCACTCTGCCTATCAACAGGATGGGTTAGTCACCGATCATTACAAGTATAGACAGAATCGAGGTATGCATCCATACTGCTTTTGACGTATCTGACTTTGTCCGTATTAGCATAGATTGTCACCTTTCTTTTAGAACTGTGGATACACACGCCTAGGCCTGTGTCTTGACCACTATAACACTTACACCTGTACATATGAATCCGACCATCGATTTGAATCCCAGCCTGAACGATTTACGTCCTTGTTGATTGCACTAGCTGTAGCACCTGCGCTATTGACCACCACATCTATGTAAATAATCTCTAGGGTCACAGTGTCAGCAGGGTGAAATTATACTTGTGCTTATATAGGGATCGCCCCACTGTGGAGCGACGGTAAGGGTTTGGGTAGTATTCAGGACATTGTCGTCAGTAGCATGATATTATATATGTGCTTATAAAGAGATCTTCCATGTGGGGCGACGGTAAGGGTTTAAGTACTATTTGTGACTATGTCCATATGATAGGGATACCAACATAAAACAACCAGTAACTGGCCTTCCCTTATTGTCTTTACATCGACCACAACAATGACTGTGAACACTAAACACATCTACCTCTACATGTTATTACGCCCACAATTAGAAGTCCCTGCCTGCACAGTATACGCCAGTCTCGTGAAAGCAGCAGTATAAATACATTTACAATTCATGTTACATCGAACACCCCCTACACCCCCCCCCCACAACATATCAGGTGTAACAATACAGAGCCACATGGATGAATAATTTTTCCATTAGATTTGTCAGCAACATATCTGAGATCATGTGTGTCACCAAAATGTTCTTTATACATAAACATCTAAGGCCTGCATTACTTCCGGGTTTTTTTCCAACATCAAGCTGAATCAACTGATATAACTTTAAAACTGCTCACAGTGGCGTTACAATAAGCTCACAGTCACGAATATGGAACAGGATTATCGCCCTTGGATTGTTGGCCAAGTGTGAACGAGCTTCGCTGAAAATGCTCTGTAAAAGGATTTCCACAAGAAATTTGATAATATCATTGTTGTGATGACGCCATGTGAAATTCGAAAACACTTGTGATCAAGAGTAGCAGGTTAAAAGGCCACACCCACTTGCTGACAACTGCTGTCTGATATAAAGTGGTCTGGACTTGTGTCGCATTATTGCACAAAATAAAATAGGTACGCGATAAATCTACTTTCTTGTTGAGTGCACTAACTATGATATCTGCGTTATTGTACACCACACCTATGTAAATAATATCTCGGGTCATGGTGTCACGGTATGCGCATGGTGAAAAAATACTTGTGTTTAAAAGGGATCTTCCACTGTGGAGCGATAGTTAGGGTTTGAGTAGTATTTATGACTACGTCCATGTGGATACAAACATTACTAGCAAAGGTGCCTTCCCTTATTGTCATGACAACTATCACGACAATGACTGTGAAAACGAAACACACCTGCCTGTACATGTTATCTCGCCCACCTTTAGAAGTGCATACCTTCTGAGTTCCTTGTTTCGAGTTTAAAATACAATAGATGAATATATGGCATTCGGGAAGTACGTCTGATTTTTGTTTCATATGAGTGAGTGACTATGGTTTTACGCAGCTTTTAGCAATATTCCAGCAATATCACGGCGGGGGACACCAGAAATGGGCTCCACACATTGTACCCGTGTCGGGAATCGAACCCGGGTCTTCGGCGTGACGAGCGAACGCTTTAACCACTAGGCTACCCGACCGCCCCAGTTTCATATTAACATGACTGAATATGATCATACAACTGACAGATCATATAGAATATGCATTTTTCAATTGCTTCCTCTATAATCAGCCACGATTGTGTATTTTTTTCCTTTTCTACCACCTCAGAATTCACAGTGAACAATTTAAAGAATTACAACTTTAGAAAAGGACGTTCTTTTTCACATATACCTTCTTTGGTAGGCATTTAGAAGTAGGAATACTAAGTAAGGATAAACAACTTCTTTATTACAATTAAGAGCGACGTTTCGGTGTAGGTTCTAACACCGCTATCAAGCTTGATACAATTAAGAGCGACGTTTCGGTGTTGGTGCTAACACCGTTATCAAGTTTGATACAATTAAGAGCGACGTTTCGGTGTAGTTTCTAACACCGTTATCAAGCTTGATTTCGAACCTACACCGAAACGTCGCTCTTAATTGTAATAAAGAAGTTGTTCATCCATAAATTCTTATCCTTACACACATACCTGTTCATATGTCCTCAACCACCCAGTCTGCACGATTTTAGGTCCTTGTTGAAAGCTACACCTATAGCCTTGCGAGAGTCGTATTATGCAGCACTTTACAGTTCAAGTTTTAGGTTATGGTTGATCTGACACATGAATACGACACTGGGTCAAAAGGGTAAAGGAAATGTGGGTTGATATTTTATAATATGTATAGGAAGCCGCTCTGTGAATAGGAATGGTAAGTGTTGGAGTAACAATGCTAGTTTTAAGTAATAACTCAACAGCAAAGTCCAGCGTCTGGACAGAGAGTCACTCCTTGAAAAATACATTGAGATAAACCAACCCGACACACACACACACACACACACACACACACACACACACACCCACCCACACACACACACACACACACACACACACACACACACACACACACACACACACACACACACACACACACACACACACACACAAAAGTCACTAAGTCACTTAGTCACTAAGTGCAACACCTCACCTTAACCCATCCTTGATTACAAAGCACAAAAAAACTTTCACACAGACAGCGTATTAAGTGATATACTTTCCTCATAGGAATAAGACTAGTGAAAGCAATTAATCCATGCCCCTTGAGTAAACGTATGTAAGTTTTAACTCTCTGCCATATTCAATTGAACCACAAATGAATACATTTCAAATGACTGGCTTACCAAACAATTATGTTTTCGTTTATGTTTATATAAACCTAAAATAAAAAGGTCACGCACACTTGCCGACTTGTGTGTCCTGTTCCCGTGAAGATCCGGGCAGACAATAGTTCTCCAGCAACCGAAGTACATACGAACAATGTGTGAAGTCCATTTCGCCGTGATATTGCTGGAATATTTCTAAAAGCGGCGTTAAACAATACTCACTCACTGCGGCTTCGTAAGTGAATCTCGATGCTTGGATCGACAACTGTCATATTAGTTGTACCCTTCAAACAAGTCTATGCCCAGAGACTACATCATGAGACCGCGAAGATCCGGGGAGAGAATAGGTATGTACATGTATTTATTGATCCCATGCCAAGTTTGAAGAGTGTGCACAAGCACAATAAATTACCTTCAAGTCTAACAGAGCAAAGCAGCATGAACCCAAACTATCCCCAGCCTGGCCACCCTTTCCCGTTTGTCACCTCTTACGATAAGCCGAAGATCAATAGTTTGTGTAACTTTGGAGACCTTTGGAAACCCTTTGCATCAATTAACTAGTCATTAAAGTGTGGAGTTTACAATCCATTGTCAATTAAGTTACTGCAAGCTTCATACCTAATCAACGACTGCAATTACCTGCGATATGAGTGAGTGAGTGAGTATGGTTTTACGCGGCTTTTAGCAATATTCCAGCAATATCACGGCGGGGGACACCGGAAATGGGCTTCACACATTGTACCCATGTCGGGAATCGAACCCGGGTCTTCGGCGTGACGAGCGAACGCTTTAACCACTAGGCTACCCGACCGCCCCTCCTGCGATATGAACACGACAAATATGTACATATTTATCCCGAAATATAATTATTGATCATGACAAGGACATATTAAATATTGTGTTTAAATTCGTGTCTGATATCACATTCACCTGTATTTCGGTTGCCACAATTTGCTTACCAAGTTTCCTCGTTCACTTTCTCATTGATTATAACAAGGACGTTCCTTGTGACATCAGCTATGTTTCTGACATTCTTGTTAATATGTGAGTAATGAGTTAACTTGTGTATGATAGTCACCAAGGTAGGTACTTTGGTTCTGTTGCATAGTCTTAATGATAAATTTTGTATTGAATGGAAGCGGTGTCTTGCATAACAACACCGACTAAATCCTGTTGTTCAGATCACGTAAGCAATATCATAGCGTTGGTATTCAATGATGGATGACTGGCCGAGACGTCGCGTGACAAGAGTTGCTCACTCTATCGATCATTGGTTTGCCTGGCTCAGGCTCGACCACTGTCCATGCCGTGTCATAAAGAGTGCTGATCTACACTACACCAGTCTGTGGGGATTTGGGGTTAAAGGGTTCCAGTGTGTCAGGTCAGAGGCGACAAAAGGACATTGTGGTATCTTCCTTGGGTGACAATACAACGAGCACTGAAGGAACGGAGTTTATTTGTCACTGTTTATCATATGGGTGATGGGCGGCCCAGTCGTCTAAAGCGCCATTCGAAAATGTGTGTCACCTATGATACCTATGATCTCCGGTTCGAGTGGGTGAGTGAGTGACTTTGGTTTTAACGCCCCTTTTAACAGTATTCCAGTTATATCACGGTGTGTCAGCTAAATGTGGGAGGAAAGCCCGAAGTGAAACAGGTCTCAGACGTTAACCACTTCGGTGAAACCCACGGATATGGTGCTGACAAACATTGAAACATAATCGGGGCGAACCAGGATTCGAACCCACAATCATAGGTTTCTGGCGTACCCAAGGGACCCAACTCTGCACAGCGTATCGCGGCGCCTTTGACGACTGGGCCACCCGTGCCCCCTCTTCGGGTCGAATAACAGATTAAGTTTTTCAGAACAATACCCCAAAACAATACCCCGCTATATAAGTGCAATAATCCCCATTTCGCCCCACATGACCCTCTCGCACAAGTTGGTCTGCCCTAAGGTCACACCCTGCTTTTTTTTCCAGTAACAATGGAGCTCATGGGTAAAACTGTTTTAGTCATTTTCGGACTCTTTTCTGGTGAGTATTAATTTCTGTTCTGAATCAATCGGCACACAAAACCGAAACAGATGATATGTTGCTCGAATGAACTTTGGAATAAGGCAACACTTGCCAAACATCCATCTATCCAATAGAACACAATGTGTGAGTTGGTAGCTTAGGTTTTTCTTTATTCAGCAAACTCTTAGCAGAGCAAACCATGAACTGGCTTTATACATTGTACACACTGTGGTGAAAAGATAGATTTCGCTTTGACTCCAGTTGCATAGAATAATGATAATGGTTCCAATGAGCACCCATGAAGGCGACTATGCTTGTCGTAAGAGGCGACTAACGGGACCGGGTGGTATTCTCGCTGACTTTGTTGATGCAAGTCATCGTATCCCAATTGCGTGGATCGATACTTATGATATCAATCACTGGATTGTCTGGTTCAGATTATTTACAGACCAGCGTCATATAGCTGGAATATTGCTGAGTGAGGCGTTCAACAACAAACAAATAATGATGTCAATCTCTGGATGGTCTGGTCTAGATTTGAATATTTCTGAGTGAGGTGACAGCCTAAAAAGGAACGAAAGACCATTTGATGTTCCAAGGTTTGGAATGTTGGTTGATCAGCCTTTCAAAGAAGCCGGACATTTCTTTTCAAGACATCCAGTTTGTCCATTATAAATGAGGCAAAATTATTTCCATTCCAGTATTATTTGGAACATTGTGTATTTCACTTCCAAGCATTTCAAAGTCTGGTAACGTGTGACATAATTTGTTTAAACAAGCGGTTACAGATTGGAACTTCTTAACCATTAATAAACATTCAAATACAATACAGTAAACTACGGTTATAACGAACTCAAAGGGACCATCAATTTTAAATCGTTATAACCGTAGTTCGTTATAAGCGTATATACAGCAAATGGCCGGGACAAAACAAAACAGTTCGTTATATCCGTCAGTTCGTTATAAGCGTGTTCGTTACAAGCGTAGTTTACTGTATGTATCTCTACATATCTATGGAAACAGGTACGACTTCATTTCAGGTACAACCCTCGTGTACATCGTGGCCGGCCTTGAGTGCGGTGTTCTCGTCATCACCATCATTGTCCTCCTCCTGTACCTCAGAGGGAAACGACGACATCGCAATGCAGGTAACAGACCAGGGACTGTGTGACTATCGCGCTTTTAGCACTATTTCATTATAATCAAGGTAGGGGTTGAGGGTTCGATCCAATATTTTGCACCCGCGATGGGAGTCGAACCCAGGCCTCCTGTGTGACGAGCGAACGCTTTAACCACAAAGTTACACCTGTACAACCTAATAGTAGTATGCAAATGAAGGCACTGAAACATGAAACCGAAATATTTAAGACCATATTAAATAAATGTATTAAGTATGGCGATAATTATATCGAAATCTGTGCGATTAATTGTCGCTTTAAGTAATATTATGAGGGGGATTGCGGTAATGGCTTCTTGCAATAAACCCATATTGAGATTCGAATCAGGTCCTCGTCGTGACGGGCGAACGGACGCTTAAACCCCTATGCTACCCAGCTTTCCTTGACATGAACCTTAAATTACAACCAAAATATTCCATCGTTAATTGAACTGAACATTCATATGAAATTCAACATTTAAATACTGATGCTTTCACAAAGAAAGTCCAAGAATTAGTAATCATTGATTTTCTTGGTATTTAGTAAAAACTTTATATTCTGTTTCAACGATAAATATATAAACACAAGAGCATGGGAGCCTATGACACTACTAGACGATATGAATGACGCTGCCAAACATAAAACATTGTTATGACTGATGTCATTAGTAACCCCGTGGACGTTGGTCGTAAGAGGTCAATCACTGGATCGGATGGTCAGTTTCGGTGACTTGGTTTAAAGCGTGTTAAAGTACCCCAACGGCGGGGAACGTTGCTCACATCAATCGCTGAATTGTCTAGTACTAGTTTTTTTCAGGCGACCGTCATATAACTGAAAGATTGAGCTTTGAACAACGACGCTACACTTTTATTAGAATAAGCCAATACGAAACAGTAGGTTATATCTCTTTACAGATATGTCACTATTGGCTACTGGAGCGTCTCTCCGCAACCCTGAATCCTCCTCAGGGAATATGTACACCGAGATCGGACCTTCTAAACCACCCCTCCAACAGACTGACAGTAACTCGTCGCACCTCTACAGTACAATAGCACCAGGTGCCACGGGGACAAACGATGACACCCAGACGAATGCAAACAGAGAGTCCTCTCTGCCCACCAACGCCACTGGGTACATCGACATGACGTCAAACAACGTCACCACGTCAGTTGACGCCATCACTCAGCACCTCTATTCAGACGTCCCTCGAGAGACACCGGCGGTTACAAACAGCCGTTTACAAAACCCTGTGTATGAGAACGTAGCGGAGGATTACATCAACGAGGCTTTTGAAGATGAGGACTAGGCAGCAGTGGGCGGCACTGTACCAACGTATTTTAAGTACCATCACAACTGTGTTCATAAGACTCTGATTAATCATGTCATGACTCTGATAATAAGGGAACAGAACTATCACAAACCAATGGGTTTTCTTCGTCACACTGTTTTATAGTACTCACCACAAGCGACGTCATACACGTGACACACACGACGTAATCCACACGTGTATGATGTTAATGTAAAACATCAACGCTAGAGATTGACCAGTCTCGATTACCCACGGAAAGAGATTCCATTGGGTTGGTTGGTTGGTTTGTTGTTTAACGCCGCTCTCAGCAATATTTCAGCTATATGACGGCGGTCTGTCAATAATCGAGTCTGGACCAGACAATCCAGTGATTGATATCATGAGCATCGATCCACGCAATTTGGATCGATGACATGCATCAACCAAGTCAGCGAGCCCGACCACCCGATCCCGACAAGCATAGTCGCCTTTTACGGCAAGCATGGGTTGCTGAAGACCTATTCTATCCCGGAATCTTCACGGGGCGATTCCATTGGGAGCAAAAGGCAACACAGCGGTGACAATTATATCCGTGACGTCATCCTGTTTAGATACTCATTATGATGATCATTGGTGAAAGAACCGAAGTAAGTCTAGTTGGGGTGGTGGTTGTTGATACGGAGATATGGGGTGCTTGTTGATACTGATGGTGGGGCCCGTGAAAACGTGGGTTAGAATAGCTCTTCAGCAACCCATGTTTGCTGTAAATGGCGACAAAAAATAGTGATCGGGTGGTGAGGCTCGTTTACTTGGTTGATGCATGTCATCGTATCCTATTTCCGTGGATCGATGCTCATTATGTCGATCACTGGATAGTCGTGTCCAGACTCGTTTATTCACATACCGCCGTGATATACCTGAAATATTGCTGAATGCGGCGTTTAACAACAAACAAATAAACAAACAAACAAACTGATGGTGGGAATGTTGGCTGGTACTGTGTGTGGGGGTGAGATGTTTGCTGGTACTGTGGGCGGGGGTGAGATGTTGGCTGGTACTGTGTGTGGGGGTGAGACGTTGGCTGGTACTGTGGGTGGGGGTGAGATGTTGGCTGGTACTGTGGACGGGGGTGAGATGTTTGCTGGTACTGTGGGCGGGAGTAAGGAGTGAGGTGGTACTGTTCGTTTGCCGTTAAGGGTGGTAGTGGCAAATGGGAAATGTAGGTTTGGGTGTGTAGGCCGGTACTGAGTGTCGGGTGTGTAGGCCGGTACTGAGGGTCGGGGGTGTAGGACGGTACTGAGGGTCGGGTGTGTAGGCCGGTACTGGGGGTCGGGGGTGTAGGACGGTACTAAGTGTTGGGTGTGTAGGCCGGTAATGAGGGTCGGGGGTGTAGGACGGTACTGAGGGTCGGGGGTGTAGGCCGGTACTGAGGGTCGGGTGTCTAGGCCGGTACTGAGGGTCGGGGGTGTAGGCCGGTAATGAGGTTCGGGGCTGTAGCCCGGTACTGAGGGTCGGGTGTGTAGGCCGGTACTGAGGGTCGGGGGTGTAGGCCGGTACTGAGGGTCGGGTGTGTAGGACGGTACTAAGTGTCGGGTGTGTAGGCCGGTAATGAGGGTCGGGGGTGTAGGACGGTACTGAGGGTCGGGGGTGTAGGCCGGTACTGAGGGTCGGGTGTCTAGGCCTGTACTGAGGGTCGGGGGTGTAGGCCGGTAATGAGGTTCGGGGGTGTAGGACGGTACTGAGGGTCGGGGCTGTAGCCCGGTACTGAGGGTCGGGTGTGTAGGCCGGTACTGAGGGTCGGGCGTGTAGGACGGTACTGAGGGTCGGGGGTGTAGGACGGTACTGAGGGTCGGGGCTGTAGCCCGGTACTGAGGGTCGGGGGTGTAGGACGGTACTGAGGGTCGGGTGTGTAGGCCGGTACTGGGGGTCGGGGGTGTAGGACGGTACTAAGTGTCGGGTGTGTAGGCCGGTAATGAGGGTCGGGGGTGTAGGACGGTACTGAGGGTCGGGGGTGTAGGCCGGTACTGAGGGTCGGGTGTCTAGGCCGGTACTGAGGGTCGGGGGTGTAGGCCGGTAATGAGGTTCGGGGCTGTAGCCCGGTACTGAGGGTCGGGTGTGTAGGCCGGTACTGAGGGTCGGGGGTGTAGGACGGTACTGAGGGTCGGGTGTGTAGGACGGTACTAAGTGTCGGGTGTGTAGGCCGGTAATGAGGGTCGGGGGTGTAGGACGGTACTGAGGGTCGGGCGTGTAGGACGGTACTAAGTGTCGGGGGTGTAGGCCGGTAATGAGGGTCGGGGGTGTAGGACGGTACTGAGGGTCGGGGGTGTAGGCCGGTACTGAGGGTCGGGTGTCTAGGCCTGTACTGAGGGTCGGGGGTGTAGGCCGGTAATGAGGTTCGGGGGTGTAGGACGGTACTGAGGGTCGGGGCTGTAGCCCGGTACTGAGGGTCGGGTGTGTAGGCCGGTACTGAGGGTCGGGCGTGTAGGACGGTACTGAGGGTCGGGGGTGTAGGACGGTACTGAGGGTCGGGGCTGTAGCCCGGTACTGAGGGTCGGGGGTGTAGGACGGTACTGAGGGTCGGGTGTGTAGGCCGGTACTGGGGGTCGGGGGTGTAGGACGGTACTAAGTGTCGGGTGTGTAGGCCGGTAATGAGGGTCGGGGGTGTAGGACGGTACTGAGGGTCGGGGGTGTAGGCCGGTACTGAGGGTCGGGTGTCTAGGCCGGTACTGAGGGTCGGGGGTGTAGGCCGGTAATGAGGTTCGGGGCTGTAGCCCGGTACTGAGGGTCGGGTGTGTAGGCCGGTACTGAGGGTCGGGGGTGTAGGACGGTACTGAGGGTCGGGTGTGTAGGACGGTACTAAGTGTCGGGTGTGTAGGCCGGTAATGAGGGTCGGGGGTGTAGGACGGTACTGAGAGTCGGGTGTCTAGGCCTGTACTGAGGGTCGGGGGTGTAGGCCGGTAATGAGGTTCGGGGGTGTAGGACGGTACTGAGGGTCGGGGCTGTAGCCCGGTACTGAGGGTCGGGTGTGTAGGCCGGTACTGAGGGTCGGGCGTGTAGGACGGTACTGAGGGTCGGGGGTGTAGGACGGTACTGAGGGTCGGGTGTGTAGGCCGGTACTGAGGGTCGGGTGTGTAGGCCGGTACTGAGGGTCGGGGGTGTAGGACGGTACTGAGGGTCGGGGGTGTAGGACGGTACTGAGGGTCGGGGGTGTAGGACGGTACTGAGGGTCGGGGGTGTAGGCCGGTACTGAGGGTCGGGGGTGTAGGACGGTACTGAGGGTCGGGGCTGTAGCCCGGTACTGAGGGTCGGGTGTGTAGGCCGGTACTGAGGGTCGGGCGTGTAGGACGGTACTGAGGGTCGGGGGTGTAGGACGGTACTGAGGGTCGGGGCTGTAGGCCGGTACTGAGGGTCGGGGGTGTAGGCCGGTACTGAGGGTCGGGTGTGTAGGCCGGTACTGAGGGTCGGGGGTGTAGGACGGTAATGAGGGTCGGGGGTGTAGGCCGGTACTGAGGGTCGGGGGTGTAGGACGGTACTGAGGGTCGGGGGTGTAGGCCGGTACTGAGGTTCGAGGGTGTAGGACGGTACTGAGGGTCGGGGGTGTAGCCCGGTACTGGGGGCCGGGTGTGTAGGCCGGTACTGAGGGTCGGGGATGTAGGCCGGTAATGAGGTTCGGGGGTGTAGGCCGGTACTGAGGGTCGGGGATGTAGGCCAGTACTGAAGGTCGGGGGTGTAGGACGGTACTGAGGGTCGGAGGTGTAGGCTAGAACTGAGGGTCGGGGTATAGGCCGGTACTGAGTATGAGAGGTGTAGGCTGGTACTGAGGCTCGAGGGTGTAGGTTGGTACTGAGGGTCGGGGTGTATGCCGGTGCTGAGGGTCGGGGTGTAGGCCAGTACTGAGGTTCGGGGGTGTAGGCCGGTACTGAGGGTCGGGGGATGTTGGATGTTGGTGGGTAGGATGTCGGACACCCCTTCACCCAGAAACACTCGGTTGACAGGGAGCCGGTAACACCCATCCATTTACACACCGCCAGTGATAACAGCCCGTGCCGGATGAAATGCTCACTCTCAACACACAATGAGGAAGCATGCATCTCATTAACCAGTATTACCTCATTGTCCACATAGCCATATAATGTATCGTAATGTGAATACATCTAAAACCAAATGGACAATAAATCATGTACAATTGGACACATCGTGACTTGGAATACTTCCTTCTTCACAATCCCCGGAGACCCGGGTTAAAATTGGTCTACGGCTACCTGTGGTTGTCGTACGTCAGTGAGTATGGTTTTATTTCGCTTTTAGCAGTACTCCAGCAATGACCTCATGTGGGGAATCGAACTACGTGATGAGCGAACGCTTTAACCACTGAGTACTGAGAGTCGAGGGTTTTAGGCAAGTACTGAGGGTTGAAGGTGTAGGCCGGTACTGAGGATTAGGGGTGTAGGCTGGTACTGAGGCTCGAGGGTGTAGGCCGGTACTGAGGATTAGAGGTGTAGGCTGGTACTGAGGCTCGAGGGTGTAGGTTGGTACTGAGGGTCGCGGTGTAGGCCGGTGTTTAGGATCAGGGGTGTAGGCTGGTACTGAGGGTCGAGGGTGAGGCCAATACTGAGGGTCGGGGATGTAGATCGGTACTGAGGATCAATCGGGCAGATCGATGCTCATGATGTCAATTACTGTATTGTGTGTTCCAGACTCGATTATTTACAGACTGCGGTAATACAGCTCGAATCCTGCTGAATGCGGCGTTAAACAACAAACAAACAACAAACAAATACAGCTTCAACTTCCGACTCTGTCCACGGGTGTCATGGCGTAGATCAGCAGCATGCACAGATTTTCCACCACAAACTCGTGGTGCCCTGGTGCAGGTCAGGAGAGTTCCTGGCTTTTCCACAACAGTCGTCCTTGTGTCATGGCGCAGATAAGCAGAGTTCCTTGGTTTTCCACTACAGCCGTCCTTGTGTAATAGCGCGGATAAGCAGAGTTCCTTGGTTTTCCACTACAGCCGTCCTTGTGTCATGGCGCAGATAAGCAGAGTTCCTTGGTTTTCCACTACAGCCGCCCTTGTGTCATGGCGCGGATAAGCAGAGTTCCTTGGTTTTCCACTACAGCCGTCCTTGTGTAATAGCGCGGATAAGCAGAGTTCCTTGGTTTTCCACTACAGCCGTCCTTGTGTCATGGCGCAGATAAGCAGAGTTCCTGGGTTTTCCACTACAGCCGCCCTTGTGTAATAGCGCGGATAAGCAGAGTTCCTTGGTCATGAGTAGGGTATTCATGTTTAACTGCGGCATGGTATCTCAATAGGCTAGCGCTATAAAATCGGCAACAGTCCGGACAAGTACAAGCAGCCCCACACACACACACACACGCACGCACGCATGCACGCACGCACGCACGCACGCACGCACATATAACATAACAGCACAAATCATGGAAATCTCACTGTTATGGTTAAACCCCGTCTCACCTCACCACATACTTATGTCAGGTATTACAAGTTACTTTTATTTTTGTTTTGGTGTTAAATGTAAAATGCAATGGGGTCGTTGTGGAAGCTTATGTGTGTTCCTACTTTTCGAATCCCCACGTTGGTACAATGCGTGAAACCCATTACTGATGCAAACTCCCAATGCATAGTTCAGCCGCCATCTTGCTGTAACAGACGATGTTTGATGATGATCGATACCGGTCCTTTGCTTGGAAGGCAGTGCAAGACCAGCGACACCAAGCGGAGGATCCGTGAACCAGTCTAAAGGCTTAGTTGTCCATTTTATTAAGCAGTCACAGATAGCACAACATGAATCACGCCGTTGACAACACTCAGCACTACAGATAGTGTGTCATCATGATAGATCTGACCATTTAATTCTCGGGCGTTGCGTTGCGTTGGGGGAAGGGGGTTGCTGGGAAAGAGGGGGGTGCGGGTGACGGAGGTGTTTGCAGAGACATGAAATGCCGTCATATCTCAAAGGCAAATTAATGTCCAACGCTAATTTGTTTGTCTCCCTCTCAACTGTCTCAACCCAAACACTCACAGCACGCCACCTCACCCACTTCAGCACGCCACCTCACCCACTTCAGCACGCCACCTCACCCACTTCAGCACGCCACCTCACCCACTTCAGCACGCCACCTCACCCACTTCAGAATATTAAATGGTCGGTCCGTTGGTGACCTCATAGGTCGTTCACACTATCACTGGTACACACTACACTGTGGCTCTATATGCCTATAAGGCAGTCATACTGTAGACAACAGAACGCCCGTCGACCCAGTTCAAAGCTAGGACACGCAACGCAGTTACTTCCTTGTTGGAGGAGTCATATACAAATGACTGTACACGTCAAGTGCTTTATAGACATAGCTGTTAAACGTGACTCACCACCTCACCGTCGCTATACATACTTATCACATTAATATCCTTGTCCACTATATCAGAACCGAGACATTTTCCCTACTCTAGAAAGCACAACAGAGATGTGTCCCAGAGCAACGCACCCATTGTTCCGACCCACACTGCTGGATATTCATGACGCTTTATCAAACACTTTACATGAAACACAGTGTGGGGTTTAACTTCCTGCCTCCATGCTAGTTATATGCTCCCTGGACGTCCGGGCTAAAACGTAAGTGTGTGTTTGTTTTAACGCCCTGTATACACAAGAACTTATCAGTTGTAAGCGACTTGACAGTGTATCACATTCACTGGACGTACTCTTGTCGGAATATGTCACACAGCTCTACTAGTCACTGCTCTACTGCGTGAACGGACCTGCCGTGTTATATGTGCTGTGTCGACACACATATCTAATCGCGGGGATTCCTGGTGTACACTTTGCCCCAAGTATCCGATGTTTGTCTCCCCGTGGGGATTCCTTGGGCAGAATTTCCCACGTACCCGAGGTTTGTCTCCCAGTGGACATAATTGGGACACACTATGTCTCAAGTACCCGATGTTTGCCTCCCTGTGGGGATTCCAGGGGCACACTAAGTCTCAAGTACATTGTACCCGATGTTTGCCTCCCCATAATGATTATTGGGGCACACTGTGTCTCAAGTACCTGATGTTTGCCTCTCCGTAAGGATTTTTGTGGCACACTATGTCTCAAGTACTCGATGTTTGCCTCCCCGTGGAGTTTCCTGGGGCATACTATGTCTCAAGTGCCCGATGTTTGCCTTCCCGCAAGGATTATTGTGGCACACTATGTCTCAAGTACCCGATGTTTGCCTCCCTGTGGGGATTCCAGGGGCACACTATGTCTCAAGTAACTGATATTTGCCTCTCCGTAAGGATTATTGGGGAACACTACGTCTCAAGTACCTGATGTTTGCCTCCCCGTTGGGAATATTGGTGCACACTATGTCTCAAGTACCCGATGTTTGCTCCCGATAAGGATTATTGTGGCACACTTTGTCTCAAGCACTTGATATTTGCTCTCTGTAAGGATTATTGGGGCACACTATGTCTCAAGTACCTGATGTTTGCCTCCCGATAAGGATTATTTGGGCACACTATGTCTCAAGCAATTGATGTTTGCCTCCCCATGGGGATTATTGTGGCATACTGTGTCTCAAGTACCTGATGTTTGCCTCTCCGTAAGGATTATTGGGGCACACTATGTCTCAAGTACCCGATGTTTGCCCCCCCCCCCTCGTAAGGATTATTGGGGCACACTATGTCTCAAGCACTTGATGTTTGCCCCCGTCGTAAGGATTGTTTGGGAACACTTTGTCACAATTATCTGATGTTTGCCTCCCCATGGGGATTATCGTGGCATACTGTGTCTCAAGTACCCGATGTTTGCCTCTCCGTAAGGATTATTGGGGAACACTTTGTCACAATTATCTGATGTTTGCCTCCCCATGGGGATTATTGTTGCACACTATGTCTCAGGTACCTGATGTTTGCCTCCCTGTGGGGATTATTGTGGCACACTGTGTCTCAAGTACCTGATGTTTGCCTCTCCGTAAGGATTTTTGGGGCACACTATGTCTCAAGTACTCGATGTTTGCCTCCCCGTGGAGTTTCCTGGGGCATACTATGTCTCAAGTGCCCGATGTTTGCCTCCCTGTTGGGAATATTGATGAACAATATGTCTCAAGTACCCGATGTTTGCTCCCGATAAGGATTATTGGGGCACACTTTGTCTCAAGCACTTAATATTTGCTCTCTGTAAGGATTATTTGGGCACACTATGTCTCAAGTACCCGATGTTTGCCTCCCGATAAGGATTATTGGGGCACACTATGTCTCAAGCAATTGATGTTTGCCTCCCCATGGGGATTATTGTGGCATACTGTGTCTCAAGTACCTGATGTTTGCCTCTCCGTAAGGATTATTGGGGCACACTATGTCTCAAGTACCCGATGTTTGCCCCCCCGTAAGGATTATTGGGGCACACTATGTCTCAAGCACTTGATGTTTGCCCCCGTCGTAAGGATTATTTGGGAACACTTTGTCACAATTATCTGATGTTTGCCTCCCCATGGGGATTATCGTGGCATACTGTGTCTCAAGTACCTGATGTTTGCCTCTCCGTAAGGATTATTGGGGAACACTTTGTCACAATTATCTGATGTTTGCCTCCCCATGGGGATTATTGTTGCACACTATGTCTCAGGTACCTGATGTTTGCCTCCCTGTGGGGATTATTGTGGCACACTATGTCTCAAGTACCCGATGTTTGCCCCCCCCCCCCCCCCCCCCCGTAAGGATTATTGTGGCACACTATGTCTCAAGTACCTGACGTTTGCCTCTCTGTGGGGATTATTGTTGCACACTATGTCTCAAGTACCCAATGTTTGCCTCCCCGTCGGGATTATTGTGGCACACTATGTCTCAGGTACCCGATGTTTGACTCCCCGTCGGGATTATTGTGGCACACTATGTCTCAAGTACCCGATGTTTGCCTCCCCATAAGGATTATTGTGGCACACTATGTCTCAAGTACCTGATGTTTGCCTCCCCGTAAGGATTATTGTGGCACACTATGTCTCAAGTACCTGATGTTTGCCTCCCCGTAAGGATTATTGTGGCACACTATGTCTCAAGTACCCGATGTTTGCCTCCCTGTGGGGATTTTTGTGGCACAGTATGTCTCATGTACCTGATGTTTGCCTCCTTGTGGGGATTATTGTGGCACACTATGTCTCAAGTACCCGATGTTTGCCTCTCCATGGGGATTATTGTGGCACACTATGTATCAAGTACCTGATGTTTGCCCCCCCGTAAGGATTATTGTGGCACACTATGTCTCAAGTACCTGACGTTTGCATCCCTGTGGGGATTATTGTGGCACACTATGTCTCAAGTACCCGATGTTTGCCCCCACCCGTAGGGATTATTGTGGCACACTATGTCTCAAGTACCTGATGTTTGCCTCTCCGTGGTGATTATTGTGGCACACTATGTCTCAAGTATCCGATGTTTGCCCCCCCCCCCCCCCCCCCCCCCGTAAGGATTATTGTGGCACACTATGTCTCAAGTACCCGATGTTTGCCTCCCTGTTGGGATTATTGTGGCACAGTATGTCTCATGTCCTGATGTTTGCCTCCCCATAATGATTATTGCGGCACACTATGTCTCAAGTACCCGATGTTTGCCTCCCCGTCGAGATTATTGTGGCACACTATGTCTCAGGTACCTGATGTTGGCTCCCCATGGGGATTATTGGGCATACTGTGTCTCAAGTACCTGATGTTTGCCTCCCCGTCGGGATTATTGTGGCACACTATGTCTCAAGGTACCTGATGTTTGCCTCCCCGTCGGGATTATTGTGGCACACTATGTCTCAGGTACCCGATGTTTGACTCCCCGTCGGGATTATTGTGGCAAACTATGTCTCAAGTACCCGATGTTTGCCTCCCCATAAGGATTATTGTGGCACACTATGTCTCAAGTACCTGATGTTTGCCTCCCCGTAAGGATTATTGTGGCACACTATGTCTCAAGTACCCGATGTTTGCCTCCCCGTCGGGATTATTGTGGCACAGTATGTCTCATGTACCTGATGTTTGCCTCCCTGTGGGGATTATTGTGGCACACTATGTCTCAAGTACCCGATGTTTGCCTCTCCATGGGGATTATTGTGGCACACTATGTATCAAGTACCTGATGTTTGCCCCCCCGTAAGGATTATTGTGGCACACTATGTCTCAAGTACCTGACGTTTGCATCCTTGTGGGGATTATTGTGGCACACTATGTCTCAAGTACTCGATGTTTGCCCCCACCCGTAGGGATTATTGTGGCACACTATGTCTCAAGTACCTGATGTTTGCCTCTCCGTGGTGATTATTGTGGCACACTATGTCTCAAGTACCCGATGTTTGCCTCCCCGTCGAGATTATTGTGGCACACTATGTCTCAGGTACCTGATGTTGGCTCCCCATGGGGATTATTGGGCATACTGTGTCTCAAGTACCTGATGTTTGCCTCTCGTAAGGATTATTGGGGCACACTATGTCTCAAGCACTTGATGTTTGCCTCTCCATGGGGATTATTGGGCATACTGTGTCTCAAGTACCCCATGTTTGCCTCCCTGTTGGGATTATTGTGGCACACTATGTCTCAAGCACTTGATGTTTGCCTCTCCAAGGGGATTATTGGGCATACTGTGTCTCAAGTACCCGATGTTTGCCTCCCCATAATGATTATTGTGGCACACTATGTCTCAAGTACCCGATGTTAGCCTCCCCGTCGGGATTATTGTTGCACACTATGTCTCAAGTACCTGATGTTTTCCTCCCTACGTAAGGATTATTGTGGCACACTATGTCTCAAGTACCTGATGTTTGCCCCCCCCCGTAAGGATTATTGTGGCACACTATGTCTCAAGTACCCGATGTTTGCCTCTCCGTCGGGATTATTGTTGCACACTATGTCTCAATTACCCGATGTTTGCCTCTCCGTCGGGATTATTGTTGCACACTATGTCTCAAGTACCCGATGTTTGCCTCCCTGTGGGGATTATTGTGGCACACTATGTCTCAAGTACCTGATGTTTGCCTCCCTGTGGGGATTATTGTGGCACACTATGTCTCAAGGACCTGATGTTTGCCTCCCCGTCGGGATTATTGTGGCACACTATGTCTCAAGTACCCGATGTTTGCCCCCCCCCCCCGTCGGGATTATTGTGGCACACTATGTCTCGAGTACCTGATGTTTGCCTCACGGTTGGGATTATTGTGGCACACTATGTCTCAAGTACCTGATGTTTGCCTCACGGTCGGGATTATTGTGGCACACTATGTCTCAAGTACCTGATGTTTCCCTCACGGTCGGGATTATTGTGGCACACTATGTCTCAAGTACCCGATGTTTGCCTCCCCATAATGATTATTTTGGCACACTATGTCTCAAGTACCCGATGTTTGCCTCCCTGTGGGGATTATTGTGGCACACTATGTCTCAAGTACCTGATGTTTGCCTCCCTGTGGGGATTATTGTGGCACACTATGTCTCAAGTACTCGATGTTTGCCTCCCTGTGGGGATTATTGTGGCACACTATGTCTCAAGTACCTGATGTTTGCCCCCCACCCCTAAGGATTATTGTGGCACACTATGTCTCAAGTACCCGATGTTTGCCTCACGGTCGGGATTATTGTTGCACACTATGTCTCAAGTACCCGATGTTTGCCTCCCCGTCGGGATTATTGTGGCACACTATGTCTCAAGTACCTGATGTTGGCTCCCCATGGGGATTATTGTGGCATACTGTGCCTCAAGTACCTGATGTTTGCCTCCCTTTGGGGATTATTGTGGCACACTTTGTCTCAAGTACTTGATGTTTGCCTCCCCGTCGGGATTATTGTTGCACACTATGTCTCAAGTACCCGATGTTTGCCTTCCCGTGGGGATTATTTTGGCACACTATGTCTCAAGTACCCGATGTTTGCCTCTCCGTAAGGGTTATTGGGGCACACTATGTCTCAAGTACGCGATGTTTGTCTCCCGGTGGGGATTATACGGGCAGAATGTCCAAAACGCACAGTGTTTGCCTCCAGTTAGGATTTCTGTGGAAAAATATGTCCCAAGCACACGATGTCTGTCTCTCGTGGTGATTACTGGGACAACACCCAACACCCAACACCTAATGTTTTAGATTCCTTTGCCGAACAATTCCTAAACATGTCTTTGGGTTTTTCTGTACATTGCATGAGTGTCTATCAATTGGGGGATGTTTGTAAGTAGTTCGAGGGCTGGTCAACAAGCTCTAAGCATAACATACTTAACCAACAATTGAGAAAGTGTTTTTAATTTCATTTTTCAACATAATCTCCCTGCTTTTCAAAACACTTCTCATATCGCTTGTGAAGTTTTTCAATTCCAGTCAAAAAGAGGTCTTCCGAAGCCATCCTGAAAAGTCCATTAACGGCAGCTTTGAGGTTTTGTTTGTCGTCATAGCGCATTCCACGAAGGTGTTCTTTCAGTGTAGGAAACACTGGTTCAAGGTCTGGCGAGTATGGAGTGGTTGAGGAAGCTCTTCGAACCCACATTGTCGAACAGCAGCATTTGCCAGTCGAAATGTGTGAGAAGAGTCATTGAAACAATAGATGAAACAAAAGAACTCCAGCAGTCAACATTCCTCAATCTCTTAGGTTATCTCAAGTTCATGAATGGTGATACGTCTATCTGACATTATAAGTTAATCTCCTTGATTGAGTCTTTATTGAGTGAGTGAGTGAGTATGGTTTTACGCCGCTTTTAGCAATATTCCAGCAATATCACGGCGGGGGACACCGGAAATGGGCTTCACACATTGTACCCATGTCGGGAATCGAACCCGGGTCTTCGGCGTGACGAGCGAACGCTTTAACCACTAGGCTACCCGACCGCCCTAATCTTTATTGAAGAAAGTTGAGGGACGTCCAGACCAAGAGTCATCATCAAGGCTTGTTCGTCCAGGCTTAAACATAACTGCCCAACGTTTAACAGTGGAATAGCCAGGGCACGTATCCCCATACACTTGTGACATGCGATCATAAATTTCTTTGGGAGTAAATAACTTGTTGACTGCTCGGTACTTGTTCTTTTCCTTATCTGTGTCCATTTGGACGTTCAGCTGGCTCTGGGGCGGTGGGGTAGTCTAGTGGTTGAAGAGTTCGCTCGTCACGCCACAGGCCCGGGTTCGATTCCCCACACAGGGACAATGAGTGAAGCCCATTTCTGGTATCGCCCGCTGTGCTATTGTTGGAATATTGCTAAAAGTGGCGTAAAACCTCACTCAACTGGCTGTCACAAATATACAAACGGCCTCAACAGACCAAATACACTTGCAATGAACTGCTCAAACAATGTACTATATTGACTAGTTCACTGTGTTTTGGCTCACAGTTGAAAGATAGTCATGATCAGGCTTAGAACCTTTTGACCAGCCCTCGTATAAGTGTCTATCAAATGGGGGAAATCTGTACACAATATGAAGTTAAATGGAGGAAGTTGAACAAAGGTCATCAACTGGGCGGTGTCTGTTAATTGATATTGTATATTAATAGCATGATATAAATCAATGTGGCTGCATTTGTTTCAGAAAACGGATATGATTGTCCGGCTATATTATTTTACAATGCGATAAACGAGATGAACATATTCATTTCAGATACCAGGTGTCCCAGACGGAGGTGATCAGCTATGCTAAGTTCTGCAGATACCAGATTGATCTGCAGCGGGTTCTTGGCGCTTGCAGGTTAGTACAAGTTTTGACTTTCCGCAAAGAAATGAAAAGAGGAAAATAATTAACTGTCGGAATTTATTTTTCCAATTTCATTGAATTCGTAGTCTATACCTTGAATGATCATGTAAAATAGGTCACGATAATAAAAGCATATAGGATGATGAATTTATTCAAAGTTCCAAAAGAAACACGCTTATCATGTTGTAACTTCCGATCTCATTGATATCCAATAAAAGTGTGTGTGTGTGTGTGTGTGTGTGTGTGTGTGTGTGTGTGTGTGTGTGTGTGTGTGTGTGTGTGTGTGTGTGTGTGTGTGTGTGCGTGTGTGTGCGTGTGTGTGTGTGTGTGTGTGTGTGTGTGTGTATGTTCGGTGCTGATTGTTGGATGCTGAAGCAAAGGCTGAATGCTAAAAGCGGCGAAAAACCATACTCAATCTCTCACTCTCACTTCAGTTTCAGGTTTACCTGCACACGACCTCGAGAGTCACGTGACATCTGGTGAGTCCCTCACTCATAATTCACTCAGTAGTCAAGAACATGTACTCACATAAGCCACAGTAATGTGTCCATGGCTGCGATTTACTTTTCCTAGTTCGACGCAAAATAAATCGTTTCCTGTCCAATGTTTGAAATGTATCTTATTCCAAGAGGGAATTCTTTTCGTCTCCATGTGTGGCTTCGTGACTGACTGTTAGTGAGGCGACCACGCGCTAAAACGTTACGAATTCAACCTCACCCCACCCCACACACCCCATCCCTCCACACACATCCCCCTCCCCACCGAGTCCTGGAAGGGCTTCGCAAATATTAATTATATACGAGTAGTAGCAGCAGCAGTGGTAGTAGTGGTAGCAGTAGCAGTAGTGGTAGTAGTAGTAGTAGTAGTAGTAGTAGTGTTGGTAGTGCAGAGTAGTGGTATTCGTTGTCGTAGTAGTAGTAGTATTATCATAAGTTGTGGTAGTTTTAGTTTTAGTTTTAGTTTTAGTTTAAGTTTTAGTTTTATTATTACTAGTAGTAAGAGAAGATGTAGTAGTGGTATTAGTATTAGTAGTTGTGGTGGTAGTGATAGTAGTTGTAATTGTAGTTGCAGTAGTAGTAGTAGTAAAGGTTGAAGTAGTTGTAGTAGTTGTAGTTGTAGTTGTAGAAGTAGTAGTGGTAGTTGTACTTGTAGTAGTAGTAGTAGTAGCAGTAGTTGTAGCAGTAATAGTAGTAGTAGTGTCAGTAGTAGTCGTAGTAGTAGTAACAGCAGCAGCAGCAGCAGCAGCAGTAGTAGTAGTAGTAGTAGTAGTAGTAGTAGTAGTAGTAGTAGTAGTAGTAGTAGTGGTGGTAGTAGTAGTTTATATACTTTAGGTGGATAAACTCACTGAATCGTATCCATTGTTTAATGTCACAGTTCGCTAATATATAATATATAAGCTAGTAAATAGACAACTTTTCTTGATGATAATTTGGTATTCGACAAGGGAAGAGAAGTATTATTATTATCATTATTCATTTTCTAAGTTATATTCAGGATCCAACTCATGTTGTCACTGATGCTCTAAAGCTTTTCCAACATAAACTGTTGGCTTCGATTCTGTTTTATCAGAACTACCGTTATTACTCCGTCCATTGTTGCAGGAAATGGTGCTTCCGACCAGTCTGACTTCAACTACACCGTGACATTAGGCGGTGTTGTTCTGACAGTCATCATTGTCCTCCTGGCGCTGTGTGTCAGAGGCCAGAAGGAGGCGACATCTGGTGACGGTAAGTACATATACAATGTGGAGTCTATGTTCCTGTACAGATATGAATGAATGAATGAATTCATTAATTAATTTGAACCCGAAGATCCGACACTGGCAAATAAGTTATTTACAATACATAATTTACAGTACTTGAGCACATACAATGAAAGAATGTGATTCAGTGCCCATGAATGCTGAATTTACAACGTACACTTTGTGTGCAGTTTTTTTTTTGGTGTCCGGTAGATTTATATTAGATGTTTCTTTTATTCCGATGATGTATTACTAAGTATCATAATCAATTTTGGAGTCGTCTAAGGCGCCGCAGTTCGCTGTGCAGAGTAACGTCCCTTTGGCACGCCATCAACCCATGATCGTGGGTTCGAATCCCGGTTCGCCCCGATTATGTTTCTAGGTTTGTCAGCACCATACCCGTTCGTGTTTTTCACCAGAGTGGTAAACGTCTGAGACCTGCATCACTACGGGCTCTCCTCCCACATCAAACTGACACGCCCTGATATAACTGGAATACTGTTCAAAATGGTGTTCAACCCAACTCACTCCCTCATAATCAATTTTGACGAATCTATGGCTGACTGGTGGGCACTTGGCGGTTATACCTGCTACTGATCTGTTTCACGTGTTATGTCAAGTACTGACTTTGAGGAACAGTTTCACATGAAACATCAAATGTTACTCGTTTACTTAATCCTGCAGCTCCATACTTTTTTTTAGATATTATCTAAGGTACAAAAACAGTACCCGTGTTACCATGATGTTTTTTGTCAGTAAATTGCAATCACAACTCGCCAATATTGTCTTGATTTGTTGTCAAATATTTGTTCTATCCATTGACATTGGTATCGCCCAGCTCCTGTGGTCAGTCATCCCATGCCATGATTTTTGCCATTTGTCATGGTTCAGAAATAGGGGTGTGCTTAACTTTTTTCTTTGTATATATATCCTGCGAGGTTTACAATTTAAAACTGGTCGTGTTATGGACAATAGTGAGTGAGTATTGTTTTACGCCGCTTTTAGCAATATTACAGCAATATCACGTCGGGGAACACCAGAAATGGGCGAATGAGCGAATAACCACGACGCTTACTCCACCGACCCGTTTTAAGCAGTTGTTCTAAGAACAAAATATGAATAAAATGCTCAGTTAACGTTAGCGTTGGATTATTTGATAAATATGAACTCGTAAATACACATATCTGATAAGTTGCCAACCGTCGACCACCAGGTGAGGTGAGGTGAGGTGAGGTGAGGTGAGGTGAGGTGAGGTGAGGTGAGGTGAGGAGAGGTGAGGTGAGGTGAGTGTGTGCTTGTACTACTCCGGACTAATGTCGAATTTGTAGTGCTAGAGATACCCTGCCGCAGTGTAACATGAATACCCCACTCAGACACAGTATACAGACTCCGAGCCGACCAGTCCCTGTTTTAGCCCCGTAATGCCGAGCGCCAGGCAGGGTAACAACACGTACCATCTTTTAACGTCTTTTTGGTATGATGCGTCCCGAGATCAAACCAGGACCTTCCGCTCTCCGGGCGGACGCCTTACCACAAGACGACACAGATATCTAACCTAACCTGTCAGCCTTGTTTTGATAATGGGCTTTGGCAGTATGCCAGGCACGATTTCCACACCGTGACAGAATATCGCATACAGTCAAACACCGTTGTGTCGAATGGGAAGGAACTTACGTAAATACTTCGAGTTATCCGAGGCTCGACATAACCGAAAATGATAAAAGAATAAGGAATACGCAGGAACCTCGCTTTTACTTCGAAACAACTATAAGTTCGACACATCGGTGTTTGACTGTAGTTTCGAAGAGTCCTCATCAAAGTTTGGTCAGGTAAGGAGAATGTGCAGTTCTGGGGGCGTTGTCAGCCATTGTTGGTATTGTTTGATTATACTATATGGTTAATCCTTCCTAACCAAATGTAAACGTCTGAGACCTGCATCACTTGGGGCTTTCCTCCCACATCAAGCGATATGATAATGTTCAAAGCGGCGTTAAATTCATTCACTCACTCCTAATCACGTGGTCATCCGACCTGAACATTTGTTAAAATACTTGTAAGATAGTAATTGTCTGCTTTGACAGGGAACACGATGAGAGCAACATGTCATTTGATTGACCAATTTGCCTCCATCCTTTGAGACATAAAAGAGCGTCAACGTCTTGTTGATAAGACATACTAGTATACGATTGGTTGGATTATGTTTCAGGGGTAAAAGATATCTATGCCGTACCGAACAAACAGGCAAAGAAAAAATCAAAACGTAAGTTTATATTATTTTACACATTATTTCATAGTGCATAGACCCGGATAGAGCAACATCAAGACAGTGTATTTATTATCTTCATGTCCTGTTGTGTTGTTATAAAAAAACACATTCCAGTACACATTACAATTTGAGGATCTGCCTCTTACAGTTTCATCCCAGTGTTGGACCAGTGAAGATCCGGGGTATAAAAGGTCTTCACCAACCCATTCTTTCCGAAAGATGCGACTATGCTTGTCGTAAGAGGCGACTAACGGGATCGGGTGGTCAGACTCGCTGATTTGGTTGATGCATGTCATCTTATCCCAATTGCGTAGATCGATGCTCGTGATGTCAGTCACTGGATTTTCTGGTCCAGACTCGATTATTTACAGACCGTCGTCATATAGCTGGTATATTGCTTTCGGCGTTAAACAACAAACAAACAAACAAACAAACAAACAAACATCTCAGTGTTGATAATGGTTGGAAAGAAGTGTGTGAGTGAGTATGGGGTTACGCCATTTACAGCAATATCCCAGCATTATCACGGCGGGGACACACGATACACATTTGACTCGTGTGAGGAATCGAACACGACCTACTGGGCAACCCATTGCCCCGGATGTAAGAGGTATTGAGTGTGATGGCCATATTAGATTCCGATATTGGTCAGTCAACTCAGCGAATCCAAGTAATCCTTTATGTTTTGAGGTTAGGACAAGCGAAGTGATGATGTGGAAAGGAAGTAAAGTAGTTGACCTTCAGGTTTCGATTTCGATTTTTGCCCCAACTGCTTCCTGTATCTGAAACATCAAACCTCAGCCTGGTAGAGCTAAAACATTGCATGTTCCTGTATCTGAAACATTTAAACGTCAGCCTGGTAGAGTTAAAACATTACATGTTCCTGTATGAGTCTCATTTCCATTTTAGGAGAAGAAAAAGCAGAGAAGGGAGAAGGGGAGAAGTGAGTAGATAGGTAACAGTCAGTGTGTATGTGACAGTCAGTGTGTATGTGACAGTCAGTGTGTATGTGACAGTCAGTGTGTATGTGACAGTATGTATGTGACAGTATGTGCATGACAGTCAGTACATATGTGACAGTCAGCGTGTATGTGACAGAATGTATGTGACAGTATGTGCATGACAGTCAGTACATATGTGACAGTCAGTGTGTATGTGACAGTATGTATGTGACAGTATGTGCATGACAGTCAGTACATATGTGACAGTCAGCGTGTATGTGACAGAATGTATGTGACAGTATGTGCATGACAGTCAGTACATATGTGACAGTCAGTGTGTATGTGACAGTATGTATGTGACAGTATGTGCATGACAGTCAGTACATATGTGACAGTCAGCGTGTATGTGACAGAATGTATGTGACAGTATGTGCATGACAGTCAGTACATATGTGACAGTCAGTGTGTATGTGACAGAATGTATGTGACAGTATGTGCATGACAGTCAGTACATATGTGACAGTCAGTGTGTATGTGACAGTATGTATGTGACAGTATGTGCATGACAGTCAGTACATATGTGACAGTCAGTGTGTATGTGACAGTATGTATGTGACAGTATGTGCATGACAGTCAGTACATATGTGACAGTCAGCGTGTATGTGACAGAATGTATGTGACAGTATGTGCATGACAGTCAGTACATATGTGACAGTCAGTGTGTATGTGACAGAATGTATGTGACAGTATGTGCATGACAGTCAGTACATATGTGACAGTCAGTGTGTATGTGACAGTATGTATGTGACAGTATGTGCATGACAGTCAGTACATATGTGACAGTCAGCGTGTATGTGACAGAATGTATGTGACAGTCAGTATGTATGTGACAGTATGTATGTGACAGTATGTGCATGACAGTCAGTACATATGTGACAGTCAGCGTGTATGTGACAGAATGTATGTGACAGTCAGTATGTATGTGACAGTATGTATGTGACAGTATGTGCATGACAGCCAGTACATATGTGACAGTCAGCGTGTATGTGACAGAATGTATGTGACAGTATGTGCATGACAGTCAGTACATATGTGACAGTCTACGTGTATGTGACAGAATGTATGTGACAGTCAGTGTGTATGTGACAGTATGTATGTGACAGTATGTGCATGACAGTCAGTACATATGTGACAGTCAGCGTGTATGTGACAGAATGTATGTGACAGTATGTGCATGACAGTCAGTACATATGTGACAGTCAGCGTGTATGTGACAGAATGTATGTGACAGTCAGTGTGTATGTGACAGTATGTATGTGACAGTATGTGCATGACAGTCAGTACATATGTGACAGTCAGCGTGTATGTGACAGAATGTATGTGACAGTATGTGCATGACAGTCAGTACATATGTGACAGTCAGCGTGTATGTGACAGAATGTATGTGACAGTCAGTGTGTATGTGACAGTATGTATATGACAGTATGTGCATGACAGTCAGTACATATGTGACAGTCAGCGTGTATGTGACAGAATGTATGTGACAGTCAGTGTGTATGTGACAGTATGTATATGGCAGTATGTATGTGACAGTCAGCGTGTATGTGACAGAATGTATGTGACAGTATGTGTGTATGTGACAGTATGTATATGACAGTCAGTGTGTATGTGACAGTATGTATATGGCAGTCAGTGTATATGTAACAGTATGTATATGACAGTCAGTGTGTATTTGACAGTATGTATATGACAGTCAGTGTGTATGTGACAGTATGTATATGGCAGTCAGTGTATATGTAACAGTCAGTGTGTATGTGACAGAATGTATGTGACAGTTAGTGTGTATGTGACAGTATGTATATGACAGTCAGTGTGTATGTGACAGAATGTATGTGACAGTCAGTGTGTATGTGACAGTATGTATATGGCAGTCAGTGTATATGTGACAGTCAGTGTGTATGTGACAGAATGTATGTGACAGTCAGTGTGTATGTAACAGAATGTATGTGACAGTCAGTGTGTATGTGACAGTATGTATGTGACAGTCAGTGTGTATGTGACAGAATGTATGTGACAGTATGTACATGGCAGTCAGTGTATATGTGACAGTCAGTGTGTATGTGACAGAATGTATGTGACAGTCAGTGTGTATGTCACAGTCAGCGTATATGTGACAGTATGTATATGACAGTCAGTGTGTATGTGACAGTATGTACATGGCAGTCAGTGTATATGTGACAGTCAGTGTGTATGTGACAGAATGTATGTGACAGTCAGTGTGTATGTCACAGTCAGCGTATATGTGACAGTATGTATATGACATTCAGTGCATATGTAACAGTCAGCGTATATGTGACAGTATGTACATAACAGTCAGTGTGTATGTGACAGTATGTACATGGCAGTCAGTGTATATGTGACAGTCAGTGTGTATGTGACAGAATGTATGTGACAGTCAGTGTGTATGTGACAGTATGTATGTAACAGTCAGTGTGTATGTGACAGTATGTATATGACAGTCAGTGTGTATGTGACAGTCAGTGTGTATGTGACAGAATGTATGTGACAGTCAGTGTGTATATGACAGTATGTATACGACAGTCAGTGTATATGTGACAGTCAGTGTGTATGTGACAGAATGTATGTGACAGTCAGTGTGTATGTGACAGTATGTATGTGACAGTCAGTGTGTATGTGACAGTATGTATGTGACAGTCAGTGTGTATGTGACAGTATGTACATGGCAGTCAGTGTATATGTGACTGTCAGTGTGTATGTGAAAGAATGTATGTGACAGTCAGTGTGTATGTGACAGTATGTATATGGCAGTCAGTATATATGTGACAGTCAGTGTGTTTGTGACAGAATGTATGTGACAGTGAGTGTGTATGTGACAGTATGTGCATGACAGTCAGTGCATATGTAACAGTCAGCGTATATGTGACAGTATGTATGTGACTGTCAGTGTGTATGTGACAGTATGTACATGGCAGTCAGTGTATATGTGACAGTCAGTGTGTATGTGACAGAATGTATGTGACAGTCAGTGTGTATGTGACAGTATGTATGTAACAGTCAGTGTGTATGTGACAGTATGTATATGACAGTCAGTGTGTATGTGACAGAATGTATGTGACAGTCAGTGTGTATGTGACAGTATGTATATGGCAGTCAGTGTATATGTGACAGTCAGTGTGTATGTGACAGAATGTATGTGACAGTCAGTGTGTATGTAACAGAATGTATGTGACAGTCAGTGTGTATGTGACAGTATGTATGTGACAGTCAGTGTGTATGTGACAGAATGTATGTGACAGTATGTACATGGCAGTCAGTGTATATGTGACAGTCAGTGTGTATGTGACAGAATGTATGTGACAGTCAGTGTGTATGTCACAGTCAGCGTATATGTGACAGTATGTATATGACAGTCAGTGTGTATGTGACAGTATGTACATGGCAGTCAGTGTATATGTGACAGTCAGTGTGTATGTGACAGAATGTATGTGACAGTCAGTGTGTATGTCACAGTCAGCGTATATGTGACAGTATGTATATGACATTCAGTGCATATGTAACAGTCAGCGTATATGTGACAGTATGTACATAACAGTCAGTGTGTATGTGACAGTATGTACATGGCAGTCAGTGTATATGTGACAGTCAGTGTGTATGTGACAGAATGTATGTGACAGTCAGTGTGTATGTGACAGTATGTATGTAACAGTCAGTGTGTATGTGACAGTATGTATATGACAGTCAGTGTGTATGTGACAGTCAGTGTGTATGTGACAGAATGTATGTGACAGTCAGTGTGTATATGACAGTATGTATACGACAGTCAGTGTATATGTGACAGTCAGTGTGTATGTGACAGAATGTATGTGACAGTCAGTGTGTATGTGACAGTATGTATGTGACAGTCAGTGTGTATGTGACAGTATGTATGTGACAGTCAGTGTGTATGTGACAGTATGTACATGGCAGTCAGTGTATATGTGACTGTCAGTGTGTATGTGAAAGAATGTATGTGACAGTCAGTGTGTATGTGACAGTATGTATATGGCAGTCAGTATATATGTGACAGTCAGTGTGTTTGTGACAGAATGTATGTGACAGTGAGTGTGTATGTGACAGTATGTGCATGACAGTCAGTGCATATGTAACAGTCAGCGTATATGTGACAGTATGTATGTGACTGTCAGTGTGTATGTGACAGTATGTACATGGCAGTCAGTGTATATGTGACAGTCAGTGTGTATGTGACAGAATGTATGTGACAGTCAGTGTGTATGTGACAGTATGTATGTAACAGTCAGTGTGTATGTGACAGTATGTATGTGACAGTCAGTGTGTATGTGACAGTATGTACATGGCAGTCAGTGTATATGTGACAGTCAGTGTGTATGTGACAGAATGTATGTAACAGTCAGTGTGTATGTGACAGTATGTATGTAACAGTCAGTGTGTATGTGACAGAATGTATGTGACAGTCAGTGTGTATGTGACAGTATGTACATGGCAGTCAGTGTATATGTGACAGTCAGTGTGTATGTGACAGAATGTATGTGACAGTCAGTGTGTATGTGACAGTATGTACATGGCAGTCAGTGTATATGTGACAGTCAGTGTGTATGTGACAGAATGTATGTGACAGTCAGTGTGTATGTGACAGTATGTACATGGCAGTCAGTGTATATGTGACAGTCAGTGTGTATGTGACAGTATGTATGTGACAGTCAGTGTGTATGTGACAGTATGTACATGGCAGTCAGTGTATATGTGACAGTCAGTGTGTATGTGACAGAATGTATGTAACAGTCAGTGTGTATGTGACAGTATGTATGTGACAGTCAGTGTGTATGTGACAGAATGTATGTGACAGTATGTACATGGCAGTCAGTGTATATGTGACAGTCAGTGTGTATGTGACATAATGTATGTGACAGTCAGTGTGTATGTCACAGTCAGCGTATATGTGACAGTATGTATGTGACAGTCAGTGTGTTTGTGACAGTATGTATATGGCAGTCAGTGTATATGTGACAGTCAGTGTGTATGTGACAGAATGTATGTGACAGTCAGTGTGTATGTGACAGTATGTGCATGACAGTCAGTGCATATGTCAAGGTCAGCGTATATGTGACAGGATGTATGTGACAGTCAGTGTGTATGTGACAGTATGTATATGGCAGTCAGTATATATGTGACAGTCAGTGTGTATGTGACAGTATGTATGTGACAGTATGTATGTGACAGTCAGTGTGTATGTCACAGTCAGTGTGTATGTGACAGTATGTGCATGACAGTCAGTGCATATGTCACAGTCAGCGTGTATGTGACAGTATGTATGTGACAGTATGTATGTGGCAGTCAGTGTGTATGTGACAGTATGTATATGGCAGTCAGTGTGTATGTGACAGTATGTATGTGACAGTCAGCGTGTATGTGACAGTATGTATGCGACAGTATCTATGTGACAGTCAGTGTGTATGTGACAGTATGTATATGGCAGTCAGTGTGTATGTGACAGTATGTATGTGACAGTCAGCGTGTATGTGACAGTATGTATGCGACAGTATCTATGTGACAGTCAGTGTGTATGTGACAGTATGTATGTAACAGTATGTGCATAACAGTCAGTGCATATGAAACAGTCAGTGCATATGTGACAGTCAGTGTGTATGTAACACTCAGTGTGTATGTGACACTAAATGTGTACGTGACAACCGGTATCTCAGCAAGCTGGTCAAGATGAGCTCCCAGAGTGCAGTACGTAAATATATGGTTAACGCTATGTTCCCATACAGCGCTTAACTTGTCGAGCACTATAGAGAATTTCATTGTGCAAATTAAGACCTCCAAAGATGTTCCTCAATGGTTAATGTGCCACGTGGCTAATATGTTTAAGATTCCCAGTTGAAAAAGTAGTAACAGTTATGAGAAGATCGTGTTGATAATTTATATGATGATATGCATGATATCTCTAGATTAACATCTAGGGTTACAACTGCCATTGTTTTGATGTTTCAGAACCGGGGATGACGGTAAGACTTAAGGCAGTCCCTACTCAGTATGCCATCTTGTAGCAATATACATGTAGGAATCCTTTCTGAAGAGTTCTTTGGGTTTAACATCGATTTGAACAGTATTGAAGTTAAACTATGGCTTGTTCGCTTAATAGGAGAAGAAACCTCACGTGACGAAGAACCTTTCCATTGTTAACACTTGGGTTACACATGCATAGGAATATTGTTGTCAAATAGACGATCTTAGGCTAGGCAATATCGGATTCAAACTCATGATCACTGGATCCTGGCATGACTAAGGGACTCAATTCACCAACCTAAAGACGCTGATGAATTGTTCGATTTATAGATACTTAAAACAAGGCTATAAAGGAAACAGTGAATTCAAATATGTTCAGTTGGGTAATAATTCTTTCGACAGTAGAATCGATTAATACATTGTGATCGATTTTGTTTTTAAATTAACTTTACTGTAACACGTCCAGTGATGCAAGCCAACGCTCTGTACACGGAGTATAAAGAAAGTAAACAAGTATCAAGGAAAGTTCGAAAACAAAAGAAAAAGAAACCGAAAAAGACAGGAAAAACAGAAGGTAAGACCTATTTCACTAAATAGGGTTTACTTTTTCTGATATTATTTTTCATATTCCGCTAACCATATATTATGTGGAGATGGGTAGGGGTGTGGGAAGAAAGAGGTGAAGAGACGGAAAAAATGTTATTAAGAACTCAATTTTATCAGGGCACCTAGTTTGTACAGAGAACATATTTTCTAATTTGTATTACCTGAGGCAAAATAGAAATATTTTTACCAAGTATTTTCTGAGATACCAGAACATGCACCTAACATTGAGGGGTCACAGTATACCCATCTGCGTATTTTACACAAGGACATACGGTACTGTTGTTTGTGCCGAGATCAAAACCTAGTCATTGCTGTGTCTGCTGGAACAAATAACAAGTGAACGACCATAACAAGACACATCATCACATTTAGCCACAAGTATACTTCATGTGACGAAACATTATCTTCAAATACAAGACCACAAACATCAAAAGTGTTTGTTTATTGGCCATATATATAAAAGGAAGGGGCGAGCCTCATTCATTCCAGTTGTGCACTTAACACACATCATCATCGGATATGGGCCGAAGTGAGATAATACACAATACCTTATGACTGTTTGGGAAGGTTATTGCCAAGGTGTTTTATTTAATATTCGTTTGTTTGTTTGTTGCTTAACGCTGCACTCAGCAATATCTAGTATATGACAACGGTCTGTGAATAATCGAGTCTGTACCAGACAATCCGGTGACTGACACAATTGGGATACGATGACATGCATCAACCACGTAAACGAGTCACCCGATCATGTTAGTCGCCTTTTACGACAAGCATAGTCGCCTCTTACGGCAAGTATGGGTTGCTGATCAGGACCTATTCGTACCAGGATCTTCACGAGATTATTCAATATTGAACTTATATTGCAGCTGTGTATGAGAACGTCGACGACGGGAATACGGGTAACAATACAGAGAAAGTACAAGACGTGTATGCTGTACCGAACAAAAAGGCCAAGAAACGGTCAAAACGTAAGTTTAATTTTTACACGTTTCATATTAAAATGCTTGAACTTGCTAATGTTTATATCACATGCATCACGATGCCCAACACTGGTATCTGATTGTTCAGCCGGCGATAACATACCAACCACGATTTACATGATAATCCCATCAATGCGGAAGGAAACGCATATCTATAATTTCTATTAAACGTTTAGGCAGACCGTGTGGCTCTGCTAGGTGTATTTTGACAGGAAAACAGACACGCATATAATAAATAATATAGTGATTGTGTGAATCACAACTAATGAGGTGAATATTATTTTGCTTAAATCCAGCACGTATTATGACGTCATTTGACAACGTCAGATCGCGTCTGTCTGAGGGACGTGCCATTGCATCATAGTAGTTTCTACCTGAAAACCAAACCTGACGCCGTTATATTTCAGTTTCTCGACAGTTAATTTTTTAAACAGAATTTTCAGAGTGATTTTGTTAGTCGCCGTTAATTAGGTGTCGATACGGGGATTTTGGATGGATTTCGTCCGGACTACCACACTTGGCTTAAAAACGAAGTCATTCATCCCCGATTTTAACACACAACGTTCCTAAAATAAAATGCCATAATTTTAGAATCTTTCTCAGTCAAAACAGCTGCGAATCCACTTTCGAAACCGCTGAGGAAGGTACAGTAGTCTAGTTGTTAAAGTGTTGGCCCTTTGGCCCTGAACACCCGTGATGTGTTCATTGGCACTGCGTCGTGTCCTTTAGCAGGGGTAGACAATTTAAACCAACCCTGTGGAAACGTCAAAATTGTCGATTGAAAAATAAAACGATTAAATGTGTCCCTCGGTGCACAATTAATACCATGGAACTCTTCTTTCAGGAGCACAAGAATGTCAGGCCCAGATGTATGAAAATGTGGAGATCTAAGAATGCCCGGATATTGGATGATTAATGCCGTGCATCGTGCACCGTGCACTAAGAGCACACAGGTGGTCATGAGAGGGAGGTGACCACATCGTCACAAACACACCTGCATGTTTACCTTTGTGACATGTAATTGCCCTCCTTCAGCAGCCGGAGACATCCACCATAGCACCATACACAGCTTATTGCTCCTTGTTCCCACACTGCGGCTACGGGGGCGGTGGGGTACCTAGTGGTTAAAGCGTTCGCTCGTCACGCCGACGACCCGGGTTCAATTCCCGACATGGGTACAATGTGTCAATATCAATTACTGGTGTCCCAGCCGTGATATTGTTGGAATATTGCTAAAAGCGGCGTAAAGCAATACTCACTCACTGCGGTTACGTTAGTGAATCTAGATGCTTGGGTCGACAACTGTCATATTAGTAGTACCTTTCAAGCCTATGTCCAGAGACTGCGTCATGGGACCGTGAAGGTCCGGGGTAGAATAGGTCTTCAGCAACCCATGCTTGCCGAAAGAGGCGACTATGCTTGTCATAAGAGGCGACTAACGGGATCGGGTGGTCAGGCTCGCTGACTTGGTTGATGCATGTCATCGTATCACAATCGCATTGGACGATGATCATGATGTCAGTCACTGGATTGTCTGGTCCAGACTCGATTATTTACAGACCGCCGTCATATAGATGAAATATTGCTGAGTGCGGCGTTAAACAACAGACAAACAAACAAACGTACGTCATGTATGATGACATATGACCTCTTGGATTGTAGTGTCACTCTGCCTGCCTGACTTGTCAATTACTGTCATTATCAGAAGACAAGGTAGCAATGCATGATTGTCTGTTTGGATATAGCCTTACATAGCATTTTGCCTGTATTGCACGTTAGCCTTGTATGGTTCTCTGTCAATAAGAAGCATAATCCCTTGATGATTGTTTGCTAATCACTCCGTCATCATGCTGTGCGTAGCAGTGACTGCCTGTCACGACACTGTAGGTAGGCGTGACTTCCTGTCAAGACACTATAGGTAGGCGTGACTGCCTGTCAAGATAATGTAGGTAGGCGTGACTGCCTGTCAAGACACTGTAGGTAGGCTTGACTGCCTGTCAAGACACTGTAGGTAGGCGTGACTTCCTGTCAAGACACTATAGGTAGGCGTGACTGCCTGTCAAGATAATGTAGGTAGGCGTGACTGCCTGTCAAGACATTGTAGGTGGGCTTGGCTGCCTGTCAAGACACTGTAGGTAGGCGTGACTTCCTGTCAAGACACTGTAGGTAGGCGTGACTGCCTGTCAAGACATTGTAGGTAGCCGTGACTGCCTGTCAAGACACTGTAGGTGGGCTTGGCTGCCTGTCACGACACTGTAGGTAGGCGTGACTTCCTGTCAAGACACTGTAGGTAGGCGTAACTGCATGTCAAAACACTGTAGGTAGGCGTGACTGCCTGTCAAGACATTGTAGGTATTCGTGACGTTCTGTCAAGACGGTGTGGGTAGGCGTGACTGCCTGTCAAGACATTGTAGGTAGTCGTGACTGCCTGTCAAGACACTGTAGGTAGGCGTGACTTCCTGTCAAGACATTGTAGGTAGGCGTGACTGCCTGTCAAGACATTGTAGGTAGCCGTGACTGCCTGTCAAGACACTGTAGGTAGGCGTGACTTCCTGTCAAGACACTGTAGGTGGGCTTGGCTGCCTGTCACGACACTGTAGGTAGCCGTGACTGCATGTCAAGTCACTGTAGGTAGGCGTGACTGTCTGTTACATATGTGTGATTCTCTGTAGTCTTTTATGACTGTCTACAATGAAGGCATGGTGTTGTATAGATAGTGTAATCTATAAATATGACGACATCACTGTTTCATGTATGTCTCTCCATTAGTCAGACACCCCACTTGTCAGTTAGCATATAATCACTTTCTGAAAATAAGGGTAATATCGGAATAACCCAGGTGAATCCGTTGAAACAGGTCAAACCTCTAGTTTCTTCTATGCAGTTACAGAGGTACCATCCCAAGCGGTATTAAAGACGTATTTTGTAATGTTCAGCGCAGACTTTGGCCATCTCAACTGTATTGGCGTGGACATTTATTATTTCTTTACTCCTTGTCTCATTATTCTCATTGATATATCTGTTTGAATGTGTTAATCAGGATTAGAATATATTTTAGAAATGGCAGTTATTTTTAAGTATAACATTGAGTTATTTTAACATAATATGGGAAAATTAATGAACTGCTATACGAGATGAATAGCACGATGTGTTAATTGCGTTTCCCTACTGCAATTTGGACTGATCCATTGTAACATTGTAACAATAGTCACTCATAAAACCAACTACATATCACTCACCCACTCACACATTAAACCTAATATATAACACTCACTTACGCATAAAACCATATATTTATCACTCGTTCACTCACACATTAAGGGGGCGGTCGGGTAGCCTGGTGGTTAAAGCGTTCGTTCGTCACGCCGAAGACCCGGGTTCGATTCCCGACATGGGTACAATGTGTGAAGCCCATTTGTGGTGTCTCCCGCCGTGATGTTGCTGGAATATTGCTAAAAGCGGCGTAAAACCATACTCACTCACTCACTCACACATTAAACCAAATATATGTCACTGACTCACACATAAAACCAAATATTTATCACTCATTCACTCACACATTAAACCAAATATATAACACTCACTCACACATAAAACCAAATACATATCACTCACTCACACATTAAACCAATATATATCACTCACTCTCTCACACCTTGAAACAAATATATATCAGTGCTACAATTCAATTCATAGACACTTTCAGTTTTTTAATATGAACACAGTGGATTGAATAGATGAAAGCACAAGTTATTGTATAAGTTCTAACTTTCCGTGACAGGCTAAAATTATTGTTGGCTTGCTGTGAAAGAACCGAATAGTGGTGCCCAAGTTATCTCAGGCGCTGCAATTCACCGTACAGAATTTCACCCCTTTGGCTTGCCAAGAGACTAGTACGGTCGTGGCTTCGAGTACTGGATTCTACAAGATTGTGGTTCTAGGTCTGTCTGCACCCGTGCCCGCACTCGTAGATGTCAGTCGTAAACGTCTAAGACTTCACTTTGGGGTTTAAATTTGCTCCAACAACAATCTGACACGCCGTGATATGACTGAAGTTCTGCTCCTAGCGACATTAACCAAACTCACTAACTCATTCCTATAATAAAAAACCTTAGTGTTCGGACAAAGGCTGTGCTTTGCGCATGGACATGAATCCACGTAGCATGGTCGCTATCAAGTGTCTGATATGATAGTGCGGTCAAAAATAAAATTTGTCTCGTACTGTGTCTTGTTATTTCTGTTGTCTCATAAAATTCGTAAGGTTTTACTTTTAAGCAAACCTACTATGATCTTTTACCGACAATGTGTTTTTGGTTTTCTAATTCTGTGTTTTAGTTACAACTCTGAACAATGGTAACTATTGTTTATAAGTGGTGCGTCATAGTAAATAAGTCCCTCGAAATATATTAGACTCAAGGTATATTCACACCCGTTGTTTAATAAACTTCTTTCTTCCGGAGAGTTACCATACGGCGATTACCGAGAGCGTTGAATACTACATTGTCAGAGTCGTTATTAAGATATTGTACCTGTAGTTCGTCATTTTTGTTACGACTTTGATAACCCTGAATACTGACTTGTTATTACGACATGACCCTTACCTCTCGTAATTTCAAGATAGATAAATCGTCAAGTAAGTGAGTGAGTTTGGTTTTACGCCACCTTTGGCAATATTCCAGCAACATTACGGCGGGGGAGACCAGAAATGGGCTTCACACATTCTACCCACGTCGGGAATCGAGCCCGGGTCTTCGGCGTGACGAGCGAAGGCGTTAACCACTTGGCTACCCCACCACACCAAATCGTCAAGTAAACCATTATATAACGTCTGGGGTAATTACAGAATAGATGATTCAATATGGAAATAGTTAATATATATGTTTTGACGTCACAACAACATAAATAAATCGTTATCTCAATCGTTATATAAGTGTTACGTCATGTTTACGACTAAGAAATAAAGAAATGTTAACACATGACACTGAGGACCCGACCATTTGATATTCTAGGGGCAGCATCGGACTTTAGTAAGAGACTTTGTTCAGTCACGGACCTAAAGCATTCATTGTTTTCCCCGAAAGGGGATCCAAGTATTATTTAGTTATTCGCTACATAGCGTGGTATGCCAACGATTATTTATTGCTGTAAAAACTGAGGCCAATCGCTATGACAATATTGTCCGGGACAAAATATATTTTCCTTATGATCGGCACCTCATTTGCTTCCGTACCTACCCATCACTATGACAACCAGGTGTACCAGGAAGGGAACACTGCATTAATTGTTGACAAGACACTTCAAGTAGACGTGACTGTCCGTAAAACACTGTCGCTATTTGTAATTACAGTTGTCTGAAGGGAATGTAGGTATATGGGATAGACGTTGTAGGTATGGGATAGACGATGTAGACGATTGGATAGACGGTGGGTTATAATGACAGGAAGAATAGGATGAATATCAGCCGGATTCGTGGCGTCTCCCTGGGCACCCTTACCCTTACCCGTACCACATCTGTACACGCACCTGTGCCTGCATCCGTACCAGAACCTGTAGTAGTACAAGCACCAATACCAACATCCCTGTGGGACATCGACACCGACACCGACACCCACACCCACACCCGAACCCACACCCGAACCCACACCTACACCGACACCCACACCCACACTCACACCCACACCCGAACCCACACCCGAACCCACACCTACACCGACACCCACACCCACACCCAAACCCAAACCCAAACCCACACCTACACTCACACCCACACCCACACCCACACCCACACCCACACCCACACCCACACCCAAACCCAAACCCACACCCACACCCACACCCGTCCCAGAGACCACACCAGTACCCGAACGTACACACCCAAATCCAAACCCGTCATCAGAGGCAACAGCCGCACCCGCCCCAAAAGCCACACCCATACCCACACAAACACTCGAACCAACACCAACACTCGAACCCACACCAACACCCGCACCGGCACGCACACCGACACTCACTCCCGCAACCATGCTCACGCCCACACCCACACCCAAAACCATATCCTCACCAACACCCTCACCCGCACGCACAACCACACCTGCCCCAGAAGCCACACCTGTACTCGAACACGCACCAGCATCCGCACCTGCACCTGCACCCGCACTAGCACTTGTACCCGCACCATAACCAACAACCACACCAACACGCACACCTGTACTCGCACCTACACCATAACCCACACCCACACCCGTCCCAGAAGCGACATCCTCACCAACACACACAACCTCGTCCACACCGACACCCAAACACACAACTGCACCCGTCCCAGAAGCCACACCCGAACTCGCCCAAGAAGCCACACCTGCACCCACACCTACACCTATGCTCACGCACCCGCACCCCCAACAGCACCCGCACCCGCACCCATACCCACACCCACACTCGCACCCACACAAACGCCCGCACCGGCACGCACACCGTTACCCACTCCCACACACATGCTCACGCCCTTACTCACAACCACACCCCAAACCATATCCTCACCAACACCCTCACCCGCACGCACACCCACACCCTCACTCCAGAAGCCACACCTGTACCCGAACCCTCATCCGCACTTACATCCAAACCCGCTACTACACCCACACCCACATCCGCACTCGCACCCAAGGCCACACCAACTACCGCCCCAGAAGCCACACCCGCATCAGCACGCACACGCACACCCACACCCACACCCACACCCACACCCACACCCACACCCGCACCCACACCTACACCCACACCCGACTAAGGAGCCACACCCGCACCCGCCCCTGAAGCCACAACCGCACTCACATCCGCACCCACACCCGCATCCGCCCCAGAAGTCACACCCGCATCCGCCCCGCTCTCACCCTGCACTATATGAGTTATACAGGATGGATGCTACACAGCCGAATGCTACCATCCTGACTTTGATCAACAAAGATCATCATATGAATAAACGCAGTTGATTCAATCTATGAAAGCACAGGTTAACATACAGTTATTTATATTCAATAAGATTGCCTATGACACAATTTGTAATTTGATAACTATATGTTGGCTTGTTGTGAAGGGCGTGTCTGCACCATACACTTGCTCAAGAGTTTCAGCAAAATGGTAGACGGGGGTGTGAGCTTCATGTGGGAGCATTTTGCTCCCACATGAAGCTCACACCCCTGAGAAAATTGAATGTCTGTTCCAAGCGGCACATGTGTCTGACCTGCATAGACGGATGTCCAGTGTGTTGGCCACCATTTGTCTGATCTGCACAGATGGATGTTCAGTGCGGTTGCCATCTTATATCTGACCTGCATAGACGGATGTCCAGTGCGGTTGCCATCTTATATCTGACCTGCATATAGACGGATGTCCAGTGTGTTGGCCACCATTTGTCTGATCTGCACAGATGGATGTTCAGTGCGGTTGCCATCTTATATCTGACCTGCATAGACGGATGTCCAGTGTGTTGGCCACCATTTGTCTGATCTGCACAGACGGATGTTCAGTGCGGTTGCGATCTTATATCTGACCTGCATAGATGGATGTCCAGTGCGGTTGCCATCTTATATCTGACCTGCATAGACGGATGTCCAGTGCGGTTGCCATCTTATATCTGACCTGCATAGACGGATGTCCAGTGTGTTGGCCACCATTTGTCTGATCTGCACAGACGGATGTTCAGTGCGGTTGCGATCTTATATCTGACCTGCATAGACGGATGTCCAGTGCGGTTGCCATCTTATATCTGACCTGCATAGACGGATGTCCAGTGCGGTTGCCATCTTATATCTGACCTGCATAGACGGATGTCCAGTGTGTCGGCCACCATTTGTCTGATCTGCACAGACGGATGTTCAGTGCGGTTGCGATCTTATATCTGACCTGCATAGACGGATGTCCAGTGCGGTTGCCATCTTATATCTGACCTGCATGGACGTGTGTCCAGTGTGGTTGCCATCTTATATCTGACCTGCATGGACGTGTGTCCAGTGTGGTTGGTACCATGTGTCTGACCTGCATAGACGGATGTCAAGTATGGCTGACGTCATGTGTTTGACATGCATGGACGTGTGTCCAGTATGGCTGACGTCATGTTTTTTACCTGCATGGACGTGTGTCCAGCATGTGTCTCACCTCCTTGTGTTGTTAACAATAATACTTGTCCTGTCCTATGTCTTGTTATCTGTTGTCTAATGATTCCTTTATAAGCAGCTTTACGGTAAGGTAAACCTACATTGTTGTTTTACTGGGTGAAGTAACGTAAACCCAACACCAGGTTTGCAGTTGCAATGTTTTGGTGACAGCTTTCTCAAAAGCCCAATAAATGGTTCATAAGTGGCACATTAGAGTAGTATTTAGTTTACGCGAAATATATAAGACAGAGCAATGGCACATTCACGCCAGCCCTGGCCTTTTAAGTCTTCACTTCTTAAGTCTTGTTAGTTACCATACGGGCAGTTAACAACTGCTGTCAATACATTTTCAGAATCGTTATCAATGTACAGTACTTATTGCTCGTTATTATATTACAACCTTTTGCGAGCGCTTAATTATAACAATATTAAAGAAACTGTGTTGGTATTGTTCTCCCTGCAGTGTTTTATTGTACGACAAACAACGACCACGAGTCGTTTATTTCTTATATGAGATATGGACATAATGTACAGCTTCTTCAAGGGTGATGATGATAATATGTACTAGCTTTAAAAATATTTACCCGCATTTTAATAAATCAATGATGACTCCTTGAATAGAATCCGACCTCGGCAATATCGGACAAGTTCATTTTATGAATAGGTGGGTTTGGTATTTCCCGTATATTCTCACAATCCTCACGTCCATTATATGTACGGTAAGCTTTTTTCCTAATACCGAATGTCATATCTCCGCCAATTTCAGATGCGATCGTTCGGGCACTGCGTTTTTCTGCGCACTCCAGCTAAATCTTTGAGGAACATCTCACAAGACACTTTCCTATCTTAAAATAACGTCGTCCAATATATGACGTTATGATGTTGCGAGCGCATATTCGAATATACAGAAATGACCTTCATGATAGAACAATGTTTTATCGTGAAACAAACCACGCTTCGATCTTCATTGTCCTTTGCGATTTATCGTGTAGCTATCTTACATTATGACAAAGACCTTTATTGTCGTAATTACAGGGCAAATCGTTGTACAGGTGTTATATCGCAATATCTACAGTAACTGAGCGGCCGACCATCTTATATTCTGTGGGTGTATGGGACTTCTGTTAGAAACTTCCTTAGTCACTGACTTAAAGTATATACTCTGTTCTTTGACAGGAGTAGCCGAACACGTATTTCAAGACACAGCCTGTCATGCGAACAAGTATTTGTTGTGTGTGTGTGCGTGCGTATGTGCGTGCGTGCGTGCGTGCGTGCGTGTGTGTGCGTGTGTGTGTGTGTGTGTGTGTGTGTGTGTGTGTGTGTGTGTGTGTGTGTGTGTGTGTGTGTGTGTGTGTGTGTGTGTGTGTGTGTGTGTGTGTGTGTGTGTGTGTGCGTGCTTGTGTGTGTGTGTGTGTCAGCTTGTACTAGTCCGGACTCATGCCGATTTTATAGTAACAGCCCACTGAGATACCATGCCGCAGTTTAGCATGAATACCCTATCAAACAAAGTATACTGACCTCGAGTTTGCCAGTCCTTGTTTTAGCCCCTTAATGCCGAGGCAGGGTAACAACAAGTACCTTCATTTAATATATTTTGTTATGACGCGGCCGAGCATCGAACCATATACCTTCCGCTTTCCGGGGGGACGCTCTACCACTAGACCGCGGAGGCGGTCTACCAGGAAGAGAAATTCAATACTTCATTAGATTTATAAAGCCAAACTTGGAATACATTAAAGCAGCTTCCGCGGTAAAAGGTCAGTCAGTAAGCAGCAATATCAATGTCGCAGTTTGATTTCCTTGTGTAATCAGATAGTGGGTGACATAGAAATACAGTCCCACATTAATATTGAACTTTCTATGGGTTTTCATGTTTTCACCTTCCTGCTACATACCGAAATCTAGGTGTTCAACGAAACCTGATTTTCAGATGAGGAAAATCGCGCGACCCTATGTTTCAACAAACATATTTACTAGTCAGGTCTCTTTGTTGCTATACACGTTTGGGACGGCCCGGGTGATACCTTGTGTGTCGCTGTTCAATTTTCCGGTGAGTAGGACTTGAACATTGGGTAATGGGGCACTATTTGTTTCCTGATGATTTCTGTATCAGATGTTTCAGGTATAACAGATTTTCAGGTGTTCTGTGGTGTTCCTGATGTTTCAGGTGTTTCAGGATTCAGGTGTTTCTGATGTTTCAGGTATTCCAGGTGTTTCAGTATTTTCAGGTGTTTCTGTGGTGTTCCTGATGTTTCAGGTGTTTCAGGATTCAGGTGTTTCTGATGTTTCAGGTATTCCAGGTGTTTCAGTATTCTCAGGTGTTTCTGTGGTGTTTCTGATGTTTCAGGTGCTTCAGGATTCAGGTGTTTCTGATGTTTCAGGTATTCCAGGTGTTTCAGTATTATCAGATGTTCCTAATGTTTTTGGTATAACAAATGTTTCAGGTGTTTCTGTGGTGTTCCTGATGTTTCAGGTGTTTCAGGATTCAGGTGTTTCTGATGTTTCAGGTATTCCAGGTGTTTCAGTATTCTCAGGTGTTTCTGTGGTGTTTCTGATGTTTCAGGTGCTTCAGGATTCAGGTGTTTCTGATGTTTCAGGTATTCCAGGTGTTTCAGTATTATCAGATGTTCCTAATGTTTTTGGTATAACAAATGTTTCAGGTGTTTCTGTGGTGTTCCTGATGTTTCAGGTGTTTCAGGATTCAGGTGTTTCTGATGTTTCAGGTATTCCAGGTGTTTCAGTATTTTCAGGTGTTTCTGTGGTGTTTCTGATGTTTCAGGTGCTTCAGGATTCAGGTGTTTCTGATGTTTCAGGTATTCCAGGTGTTTCAGTATTTTCAGGTGTTTCTGTGGTGTTCCTGATGTTTCAGGTGTTTCAGGATTCAGGTGTTTCTGATGTTTCAGGTATTCCAGGTGTTTCAGTATTTTCAGGTGTTTCTGTGGTGTTCCTGATGTTTCAGGTGTTTCAGGATTCAGGTGTTTCTGATGTTTCAGGTATTCCAGGTGTTTCAGTATTTTCAGGTGTTTCTGTGGTGTTCCTGATGTTTCAGGTGTTTCAGGATTCAGGTGTTTCTGATGTTTCAGGTATTCCAGGTGTTTCAGTATTTTCAGGTGTTTCTGTGGTGTTTCTGATGTTTCAGGTGTTTCAGGATTAAGGTGTTTCTGATGTTTCAGGTATTCCAGGTGTTTCAGTATTTTCAGGTGTTTCTGTGGTGTTCCTGATGTTTCAGGTGTTCCAGGCGTTTCTGGTGTCAGATATTTCAGGTGCTTCAGTGCCTTTCTTGTGTTCAAGGTGTTTCAACTATTACAGTTGTTTCAGGTGTTTTTGAAATTTCTTTTAAAGATCTGTTGTTTCTGATATTTCTTACGTGTCTGGTGTTTCACGGGTTTCAGTTAATACACTCAATACTCAGGTGGTCAGTTGGAACGTGTACTATGAGTGCCTCAACGGATGGTAGATATGGAGTGGAGTGGAGTGGAGTGGAGTGGAGTGGAGTGGAGTGGAGTGGAGTGGAGCGGAGTGGAGTGAGTGAGTGAGTGAGTGAGTGCTAAACTGTTAGTCACCGAGACCTTCTGCTCTCCGGGCAAACGATCTACCACTAGACCACGGAGGCGATCCGTATTCGGAAGTAGCTCTGTCGTAGACGTGTATCACTTTGGCCTTTATTTTGTGTTAATGTGCGCTTTGCCATTTTTCTTTCTCTCAAAAGTCTTGGTCGATGGATGAAATTTAGAATTAAAAACATCAGTCGCTTCAACGTCTTCTGAAAGAATAAAGGAGCGATGGGAAGATATTTTGTTCTAATCCTCTGTTTTTATAACACGCGAGTGGAAGTTTTTATAACACGCGAGTGGAAGGTTATTTTATTGCGTTTGCATTTGAACATAGCCAAATTCTGTTTGTACTGGTGAAGACATAACAAGTATTTGAACAATCAGTTACTGGCCATTGTGAATGTACATTTGTCTCAGAGAGAGAAAGGGCGGTCGGGTAGCCTAGTGGTTTAAGCGTTCGCTCGTACCGGGTTCGATTCCCGAAATGGGTACAATGTGTGAAGCCCATTTCTGGGCGTGATACTGCTGGAATATTGCTAAAGGCGACGTAAACCCATACTCACTCACTCACTCAGACAGCGAAACAATTGTACCTTTTTCTCAGGCTTGGTCAATTAATGTGAGGGGAAGGGTGTGGTTGGGGAGTTACCAGGGCTTACTTTTGTCATCGCTAAATAAAACTTCAAAAATATCCTCCGGTGTAGAGTTCAAAGGTGAAACGTTTTTCTTTTGTATGGTCGCGAAAAAGACCATTTCCATCCATAAAAAATGTATATTTAAATAACAAGAGACTCCTCTTTGTCGTGGAGTCAACCTGACTTCTTAATAAAAAAAATAATAACTGTGCATTTAAAAAAATAATAATATTTATGACCCTCACTTTATGGGTCTCTGCCCTGTAATTAGAGTGTGTGCACTAAAATCACCCGATTCACGGTGGACAAGGAACTTTTGATGAAGCGGTGGCCTTCATCAGGTCATAGGGGGGCACGGGTGGCCCAGTCGTCTAAGGCGCCGCGATTCGCTGTGCGGAGTTGCGTTCCTTGGGCACGCCAGAAACCTATGATTGTGGGTTCGAATCCCGGTTCGCCCCGATTATGTTTCTAGGTTTGTCAGCACCATACCCGTGCTCGTCTGAGACCTGCATCACTTCGGGCTTTCCTCCCACATTAAGCTGACACGCCGCGATATAACTGGAATACTGTTAAAAGCGGCGTTAAACCCAACTCATTCACTCACTCACTCACTCATAAGGTTATAACACTTGGAGCAAGATGTGTCAAAGTGACATTTAAGATTTTTTCGGGTTCGTAAGCTACAATGTAGTTAGAATAATATTTCTTGATGATCATACATAAAGTAAGCCACAGCTCATGAACAGAAGTATGAGTACATATTTCCATGTCGCAATTCAACTTTTCGATTTCCAAATAAAACCTGGCTTATGAGCGGAACGAAACACGTTCATGTATATTTTCAATTGAACTGGAACTTCACATCGCGTAAACATTTCCTTACATTTGAATATTCATGGTTTCGGACATTAAACTGCCAAACATGAATAATCATTGATGCGTCGTTTACCAACGATAGATATTTTAATTTGATGTTTTGATATCATCAAACATGGGGGTGTTGCTATGAAACTTTGTGGATACACCAAACAACCGCTTAGCTGATGCCTCTTGCTCTGACCCGTGAAAGTTCGGTCTTCAGCAACAGAAACGACTGACGGGATCGGGTGGTCAGGCTCGCTGACCTGGTTGATGCATGTCATCGTATCCCAATTGCGTAGATCGATACCCATGAGGTCAGTCACTGGATTGTCTGGTCCAGACCCGATTATTTACCAACCGCCGTCCTATAGCTGGAATATTGCTGAGTGCGGCGATAAACAACAAACCAACAACACTCCCTCACTAATCACTTAAACTTTCATTACCGTAGAACCTGTACGGATGTGTACGTGCCTCACACTAAGAGATGCAGAAATGGAGTGATAATATTAGCATCAAATTATCAATTATCAACAGGTGTTGAAAATGTGTGAGTGGGTTGGGTTTTACGTCGCTTTTAGCATCATTCCAGCAGTATTAAGGCGGCGTACACAATAAATGGGCTGTACACCTTATACCAATGTTAGGAATCGAACCCGGTCCGTCGGCGTGACGAGCGAACGGTGTGACCCTTAGGCACGACACAGTGTTGTATTCCGATGAAAATATAATTTCAATAGTAAACAGAAATGGTTTGATGTTTGATGTTTTACACTGATATCATTATGCAATGTAGCCATTATTTGATAAGTCCTAATTTAAATGACAAATATCATGATGAAAGACTTTTCAGTATATTTCAGTGCGTGGTCTGATTAAATCAAGCATGAGATTTTCCTCATGTTCCCTGAATAGGTGAATTATTCAGGGCGAGTACTGAGCAAGCCTTGGCCCATGTTGTGAAACGTGGACGCGATCGCGGTGAGTTTGTTATGAGTATATAAGTGTTCATTTTATACGAGTGTTTTGTTTAACACTTAACAATCTTCCACTTATACAATTATGGCCGGACACCCCAGTGATTGATATTGTGAGCAACTATCCACGTCGGATATCAAAGTGTTTAATGATAATGATTAGGGGGTGCCACGATAAATCGAAATATCGATATATTGCTATTGGTAAGCCCTTAAAGTAAATATATCGATTGTTAAATCAGTTTACGATCAATAGTATCGATTTCAGTTAGGAATATCGATATTTTCGATTGTATTTACCATATCAATAAAATACAAGCAATGCTGTTCAAATTTGTTTTCCGTTTGGTCATGAGTGGTAGTAATTTACACATGCTAATGTGGAAGTTTCTTTTCTTAAATTATTAGGGTAAAGAAAAAACAAATCAGTCATATCTCAAACTTTACTTCTTATTTGTTGTTATGGTTATCACATTAAAAGGAAACTTCAGTTCCAAGGTTTAATTCAACTCTAAAATCCATTTAAAATGATACACTGAAAACTATCAATATTTATCGCAATAGTTGCTTGCAATATCAATAGTTATCGCAATAAGTTTTTCTATATCAATAGTTATCGCAATAGTGATTTCCAGACCAATAGTCACCCCCAATAATGATTAATTATATTTGCGACCACACACGCTTTAACACAAACATGTGAAATTTAGTATTCGATAGTATGGAATACCGCCAGGGACATCTATCGTTCGCACGTAGCACGACACAGACACGAGAACTGATAATTCATAAAAGGTCCGTTTCAAGTTAAGCCATGTCGGTTTGGTACTCCTAATTTGACAAGACGAGCTCGCGAGATTATACGAGATTTTGCATGTCAGAATGAAGTTGATTCGCGATGTTCCATTTCGCGCTTTCAGTTTTGTTCACTGTTCACAAAAGGCCGAGAACGCGATAATGTACCTTGCAGTATTCCATACAATGTATAGCGCATATATTATAATGAACATCCTGAGTGAGTGAGTATGGTTTTACGCCGCCTTTAGCAATATTCCAGCAACTTCACGGCGTCCACCCTGCTAGAAAACAAACGAATACTCCCCAGGGAGCTGAGAATGCAACAAACAATGAACCGAAAAATAAGTAGCTGATTGATCAAATGTGACCATACATTCTTTTTTTGTGGACAGAAGGTAGGCATGCTTGCAGGCTGTGTCCTTCTTTTGTACTCAACAGTCCAGTGGTCCGAAATCTTTAGATTCATAAGTGGTCAGTTATATCATGATGTTAATAGTTTCAATTATGGTAATTTCTTAGATAAATATGTTCCGCTTCACAGAAAAGAGCGCCATGGCCAACACGACTACATCTGAATTGACAAGTACACGTGACAATTCAGGTATGTATATTTCATTTTTGCACATGGGCGGTTGGCGCAAGACGTGTGTGAGTCAATTTCAGTCGTAAAGAGCTGCATGGTATTTAACGCCGCATTGGTAGTATCTCAGCCCTAAAGCCTTGCAAGAAGTATGCGAGTCAATGTTTAACGTCACATCGTTAATATCGCAGCCATGCAACAATGATGTAATGAGTAAGTGAAGCAATGTCCCAGCAATATCACGTGGTGAGACAGAAAGTATGACCTTCAAACATTGTTTCGGTGTTTGGGAATTGAACCCGGGGTTAGGCGTAAAGAGCGAGCACTTTAACTGCGGAAACTATCCCACCGGCTACTCTGAAATGTCGGTCCCAACTGCCAGAGGCTCTGACATTTCTGCTACTGTAATGACATTCGATGCTATACTGTAATGACATTCGATGCTATACTGTAATTCCAGGTGTTGCTTGGAGCTGCTTCCTTTCTAAGAATACATCCAGCTACGCTGTGATAGTATGAATGTGGCCTGTATTGACATATAACTCACATTTTGACAGATGCTAGTTTATGTAGGGAAATAACATAATCCCAGGGTTGGAAGGTTTAATATAAATGTTCGGTTTTGTCCAGGGATTGACATTTACATGAATTTACAGGTTCAACACCAGGTGTCACAAATGCAACTAATACACCAGATAACATCTACACAAATGGTACGTCTCTGACATGTCAGTGAATGTCTGTGTAAGTGTGAACACTGAAGCAATTACACATACATGAGGTTAAACAATACGTCATTAAGGTTTCTTGTTTCTTTACAGACAAAATGTTGAATTTTGTTTGACGTTTTGAACATACAGTTATGATATATGTAGAATGTACCAAGCCTGTTGATCATAACAAATTATTTACATTAATATTGCACAAATCATTTGTAAATTTCCCTATTCTATTACAGCAGGATGTAAAATGTAATTTTGTAAAAACCCAATGAAACCATTCTTACAATCTACTAGAAGCAGCTTACCGCGCAATCTGTCACTCATATCGAATCAATTATTTTGCGTTTGATTATTATTTAACAAACAAACTTCAATTTAGATACTTGGTCGCAACATTTTTCTACCCTGGTTAGTTCAATTGTGGTGGAAGCTTATCATCATTCATTGAAACATGACGTCATTCATTCAAGACGTATGTAGTATTAATACTTAACCATTATCTAAAGGCTGCTAGTCTTGTCCTATGTATGTGGCTGTTATAATTAGGACAACAGTCAGCAAGGAGAGGTCCTATATTATGTGTTGATAAAGAAAACAAGTGAGTACGACCAACGTGACCATACTTACCATTCCATTTCCATTGTGGTTTTCAGGTTCAACAACGCCCATCTACTATACAGAAAACACCACTTACGGTGTCACGACCACAAGCTCTGTTTTTAATACAACGTCCATGGGTAACCGTTATATTGTTATCATTGTATGTAATGTGGTGACATGGACCATTGGATTACTGCAATTACATACGTTTGTTAATATTTTCCGCAATAATGTTGTGATTGTGGAATACAGAATGAGTGAGTGAGTTGGGTTTAACGCCGATTTCAACAGTATTTCAGTTTTATCAGGTCGTGTCACTTTGAATTTGGGTGAAAACAGGAAGTGATGCTGGTCGTACCTAGTCACCACATTGTTGAAACTCACAGGCACAGTTATTATTCTTACAACCTAGAAACATAACCAGGGCGAATCTTGAATTCGAACCTATCATAGGTTTCTGGAACGCCTAAGGGATGCAACTCTACATAACGAATTGCAACCCATCGGAACTAAAAAAACCTGGAGCTGTGTTTACTGGTGCGATAACAAAAGACGTACAGACTCAAACAAAGTCAATTCGGTATCGGCAGCCACAGACGCCGATATTGTTGTACAGGGTTTCGTTGCTTTTCGTGTCAGGATCCGAAGAAAGTACCTTCGAAAATCCAAGGGGCGCTTCCTTGGTTTGTCACCTCAACCTGTGTTTCTTAAATGGGTACACATTAAAAACATCCGTCTCGTTTAGGCCCCAACCCACTCATACGAAAGTGACACGCCTTGTTTTAGTATTGTCCCTTGTCCAGCATGCACTTATCATAAATCTACAATGCATTTGGGCGGAAAGTTAATTTGAAATCAACCTAATCAGAGAAATCTAACAAACTTTTCCCCGAGAAGTAAGGAAAGAGAAACATATTCTCGAAATGCATATAAATATAACCATAATTGACATTGTCATATTGCAAGTTAGTTTAATCGACACTAATAATGAATAATAGGGTAGCATATTTTGTGTACATGCTCACGTGCCAAATATAATTGCAATATCAGGGCCGTAACATATTTATATTACCTGAACGATATTGTTAGAGTCACCATTATATAGATTCGATATAATTCGTGATATGTCGTATATTCTACTTCGTTTTATCTGGAGATGACGATACATGCGGTGTGTCTTGTTGCAATTGTACACATAAGATTTGACTTCAACCATGGTTGTAGACTTGTCAGTGTGACAATCGTCGTCAGCGTGACGTATACAATCTTCGTCAGCGTGACGCATATAATTTTCGTCAGAGTGACTCATACAATCTTCGTCAGCGTGACGCATACAATCTTCTTCAGCGTGACGCATACAATCTTCTTCAGCGTGACGCATACAATCTTCGTCAGCGTGACGCATACAATCTTCGTCAGCGTGAATATTCTCATATTTAGAATAGTCAATCTTCCCTGCTTCTGTTCTGTAGAATAAATCTACCGAATTTATTTTCATGTTTGTGTACATGTCGCCGTTGCATGATAGGATTACTGCTGTGCAGTGTCAGGCAACAAAATACATACTTATGCTATTTGTGTGCGTGGTAGGTTTGAGTGGATCTGCTTACCCTTTCGAGAACACCTTGTGATTTTGTGATCCATTCATAATAGTTTGCCTTTTACGCCCAATGTAATCCGCTTCCTCGGAGAATCGTTATTTTCGGGCGTTGACGTTTCATATGTTTTAATAGAAATTTATATTATTTAATTCTATGTTTTTTTTATTCCCAGTACATTACAGTCATCATACTATTATCAGTTATTTACGTGATATAGTCGTTTTGGTAATCCATTGGATTTTTGACATGCTAAAAAGATGTAACCGCATACATTATCATCTTAAGTGGAACCTCTTTATTCCGAGGGGGCATGGGTGGCCCAGTCGTCTAAGGCGCCGCGATTCGCTGTGCAGAGTTGCGTCCCTTGGGCATGCCAGAAACCTATGATTGTGGGTTCGAATCCCGGTTCGCCCCGATTATGTTTCTAGGTTTGTCAGCACCATACCCGTGCTCGTGGGTTTCACCGAAGTGGTACACGTCTGAGACCTGCATCACTTCGTGCTTTCCTCCCACATTAAGCTGACACGCCGCGATATAACTGGAATACTGTTAAAAGCCGCGTTAAACCCAACTCACTCACTTTATTCCGAACCCTGATAATCAGGAAACCCGACTGCTGGGAACACGGACATGTTCATACACTAGGGACATCACAGCAGAAGCATGATTCCTTAATTTTGTTATTCCGAACGTTTTCAGTTTGAATGCCACATTCTTGATCAACCTGGTTTCATTGAATGCATTTTCTTTTCAACAGGTCCTGGACCTTTGATTAGTGTCTATATATTCACCGGCGCCGTCTCTCTCCTGCTCATCATCGTGACCTGCATCGTCCTGTTGGTGTACTGCGTACGGACCTGGGGCAAGTTGGGGGATGGATGTGAGTAGTTCCAAATAATTAGGCAATATTATACAATACATCTTGTAGTTGTTTTCGAAAAGGGGCGGTGGGGTAGCCTACTGGTTGAAGCGTTTGCTCGTCACGCCGAAGGCCCGAGTTCGATTCACCACATGGATATAATGTGTTAGGCCTATTTCTTGTGTTCCCCGCCGTGATATTGCTTGATTATTGGTAAAAGCGGCGTAAAACCATACTCACTCACTCACTTCCATAAGGTAATTACAATGTGTGAAGTCCATTTTGGGTGTCTGATGGAACATTCGCTAAACGCAGCGCAAAACTATGCTCACTTACATGCTCACTGTAAGTCATCAATGTAGACGTGTATTCAACATGATGAGTTATCTTGGTGTTATGCTCGTGGAATAGAAATTATGTGTTGAATATAGTTGCCGAAACAATTGAAATGAAATATTGATAAACAGAGATAAGGACATGCAGAAAAATATGTTATCCTCTTCTGTAATAGATGATGTGAAGGCAGAGAACACATCTAGAATGTATAACGTTAAGGTTACCGTTACCTACAGAGTGTTGTATATACATACGAACCTATTTCAAGTACTGTTATCCACAGAGTATTACATGCACATATAAGGCTTATTACAAGTTCTGTTATCCACACAGTATTACATGCACATATAAGGCTTATTACAAGTTCTGTTATCCACAGAGTATTTCATGCACATATAAGGCTTATTACAAGTTCTGTTATCCACACAGTATTACATGCACATATAAGGCTTATTACAAGTTCTGTTATCCACACAGTATTTCATGCACATATAAGGCTTATTACAAGTTCTGTTATCCACAGAGTATTACATGCACATATAAGGCTTATTACAAGTTCTGTTATCCACACAGTATTACATGCACATATAAGGCTTATTACAAGTTCTGTTATCCACACAGTATTTCATGCACATATAAGGCTTATTACAAGTTCTGTTATCCACACAGTATTACATGCACATATAAGGCTTATTACAAGTTCTGTTATCCACACAGTATTACATGCACATATAAGGCTTATTACAAGTTCTGTTATCCACACAGTATTTCATGCACATATAAGGCTTATTACAAGTTCTGTTATCCACACAGTATTACATGCACATATAAGGCTTATTACAAGTTCTGTTATCCACACAGTATTTCATGCACATATAAGGCTTATTACAAGTTCTGTTATCCACACAGTATTTCATGCACATATAAGGCTTATTACAAGTTCTGTTATCCACACAGTATTACATGCACATATAAGGCTTATTACAAGTTCTGTTATCCACAGAGTATTTCATGCACATATAAGGCTTATTACAAGTTCTGTTATCCACACAGTATTACATGCACATATAAGGCTTATTACAAGTTCTGTTATCCACAGAGTATTTCATGCACATATAAGGCTTATTACAAGTTCTGTTATCCACACAGTATTACATGCACATATAAGGCTTATTACAAGTTCTGTTATCCACACAGTATTACATGCACATATAAGGCTTATTACAAGTTCTGTTATCCACACAGTATTTCATGCACATATAAGGCTTATTACAAGTTCTGTTATCCACACAGTATTACATGCACATATAAGGCTTATTACAAGTTCTGTTATCCACACAGTATTTCATGCACATATAAGGCTTATTACAAGTTCTGTTATCCACACAGTATTTCATGCACATATAAGGCTTATTACAAGTTCTGTTATCCACACAGTATTACATGCACATATAAGGCTTATTACAAGTTCTGTTATCCACACAGTATTTCATGCACATATAAGGCTTATTACAAGTTCTGTTATCCACAGAGTATTACATGCACATATGTGGCTATTACAAGTACTGTTATCAACACAGTATTTCATGCATATATGTGGCTATTACAAGTACTGTTATCCACACAGTATTTCATGCATATGTGTGGCTATTACAAGTACTGTTATCCACACAGTATTACATGCACATATGTGGCTATTACAAGTACTGTTATCCACAGGGTATTACATGCACATATGTGGCTATTACAAGTTCTGTTATCCACAGAGTATTACATGCACATATGTGGCTATTACAAGTACTGTTATCCACAGAGTATAACATGCACATATGTGGCTATTACAAGTACTGTTATCCACACAGTATTTCATGCATATGTGTGGCTATTACAAGTACTGTTATCCACACAGTATTACATGCACATATGTGGCTATTACAAGTACTGTTATCCACAGGGTATTACATGCACATATGTGGCTATTACAAGTTCTGTTATCCACAGAGTATTACATGCACATATGTGGCCATTACAAGTACTGTTATCCACAGAGTATTACATGCACATATGTGGCTATTACAAGTACTGTTATCCACAGAGTATTACATGCACATATGTGGCTATTACAAGTACTGTTATCCACACATTATTTCATGCATATATGTGTCTATTACAAGTACTGTTATCCACAGAGTATTTCATGCACATATGTGGCTATTTTCAGTACGACATGAAGAGAAGGACAAACTGACGTAAGTTTACTATCTTTACCATTATTGAGTTACTTACTCATTCGGAGGCAAGTACTTAAAACCATGTGTGGCTTATTCAATGTTTGTATGAACTATGTCCCTAAAACATGAAACAACGGTGGGTGACAATTGCAATCAGTACTCGCATTGATATCTGTACACGCCATTATACCTGCATACGCCAAGCAGTATATCTTAAAAAAACAATAAGCGCAGAAGCATGTGTACTCGTCACTTAATACCTTGACAAGAGCTTCGATGGAAATGTCAATTTTCTGCATTTGTAAATAAAAGCGACAAAACCCTTTCTATATTCACAAGAAATCTAGCTCAAAGCTGAGTTGATTGTACAATTCCGACATGTGTTTATGAATCATTATCAAATAGTGATGATACCAGGTGTTCGCGAAAAGATGGGCGTATAGTTTTTCAGGCCAGCTGACTTAATCCAAGCGATTATTATTATTATTATTATTATTTATTTATTTATTATTATTAACACTTACATCTGTTTAGGAGTCGCCAGGAGAATGCCGATTTCATACTATCAAGACACAGCGGTAGGTACATTATGGCTCCCTGTTTCTCGTTGGGAACCAATATCTGCACCAACAAAAGCAATATATAATGAATGAATATATAAGGTCTGATCGTGTGATTATTCTCCACATTCAGTGACGGTGGACAAGGCTTATCGTCATGTATGGTGAAACTGTGTGTTGAATATATTAGGCCTGATCTTGTGATTATTTCCCTCATTTAGTCATGGTGGACAAGGCCTGCCATGTCGTTATGGATGGTGAAACCCCTCTATGCCGGATAGCGACCACCTCGAGACCTCCGAGAGAAGCAGGTATTGGACGTTTAACTATAATTGTACAACCTTATATCAGCGAAAACAGACGTGTTCAGCTACAAGACCCCACGGTCTGGCCCCCTTATATGTATATTTCTGTGACTAAACGTTTTGAAAGGTGTTCCCGACTGACATACAACTCCGTATCTTAAAACCAATTTCTTAAAAGTTACGTACACAACTCCTGTTTGAGGAGTGAAAATTTAAAATTTCGATGTTATTTAATTTGTGATGATTTGTTTTAAATATTTCGAAATACATCAAATATATGAAAGGCCGTGCTATGTCAAATATAGGAATTTGAATCCTGATGAAGGAGTAAGCATATACTCCGAAACGTTGTGTTCCTTATAACAAGAAGTTGACATCCATATATTCTCTTCCTTATAACGTGTACGGTCTTTAAAATACAACTGTTTGATTTAAGGAAAAAGCTAAAAAATAACATTTCCAAAAACGAGCTCAACTGATCACGATGGTGTGTCTTGTCAAGTTTAGACCACATGAAGGATGCAGTAATATATTTACAAAACTTACAGACACATATACATTTATTGATAATAATTGTGACCAAATCGAGACAACTTTATCCCACGCTAAACATATAAGGGTATATCGAATATAGGGCAATTTGCATTGTTTCCTTACTGTAGATGGTTTTATCATGGCCTACCAAGGTGCAGGATCCGAGGCAGCCTACCAGAATACTATTCAAAGGACTGACCCCCTATACGCCGACCCCATGACGCTGGACAGACCAGGAACACAAAGTATGTGTTTATAACATAAACAATAAAGTATTAACAACACAAGTATGTACAGTAAAGATAACCTATACTCAACGTAAGGTCGTCAATACGATTGTGTCCCTTGATCCTTCATCGCCATGTTAGTGTTTCCTGGTTTCAACAGAATGAACCACGCGGGGAATCTAGGGTAGAGCAGGTACCAGGTGTATGTTGGTCGTAAGAAGATACAATGGATCGTTGACCTGGCCGGTGGTGTGTCATGGATTATGTACATGCCACAGTGATTAGTTGGACTGCCGTGGCAAACAACATTTACACGCTTTTTCCTACTATTCAAACCGTTACTGTAAATTCACAAAGATTCACAACTGGTGCTTTGTAGACGCTTCATATTCATACTAAAGATTTATACCTAAATATCCATTGTGACGTTTTAGTTCCGCGTAAATCGTGTTTCGTTGACTAAAACAAGGACTGTTCGGCTCGGAGTCTGTATACTGTGTCTGATCATGAGTGGGGTATTCATGTTTAACTGCGGCATGATATCTCAGTAGGCTGGCACTATTAAATCGGCATTAGTCCGGGCTGTAGCCACACACACACACACACACGCATACACACACTCACACGCGCATACACACACTCACACACACACACACACACGCACACACACACACACACACACACACACACACACACACACACACACACACACACACACACACACACACACACACACACACACACACACACACACTCACACGCGCATACACACACACACTCACACGCGCATACACACACACACTCACACACGCATACACACACACACACACTCACACGCGCATACACACACACTCACACACGCATACACACACACGCATCACACACACACACACACACACACTCACACACGTGGATGCACGTCCCCATATAAGTGTTAAACCCCATTTCACCTCACCTTATTGCTTCGTCGTACACTAACAGACGGTACAGTAACAGAAAAGGAAGTAATATATGTTATTTTATTGTGTTTGTTCGTGTGTGTGTTTGTTCATTGTTTAGCGCCACAACCAGCAAAATTCCAGCTGTATGACGTAGGTCTGTAACAAACACTTGTAGTTGTGACAATTATCACCAGCATCGATCCACGCAATTAACCAAGTAAACGAGCCTGGCCTCCTGATCCATTTATCCGCCTTTCACAATCATATTTATTTGGGGATCTACATCCTTACCCGGAATCCACACTAGTTATGTTAGAATATAGACAAACAACTAATACGTGTCAAGACAAAGATGCGTGTAATGCACAGAGACATATGGTTCTACTTAACCTTATCGTATCGAACCACCGCGTCGTAGAAGTATGTGTACACGTTATGGTGTTTAGAACATCCAGAGCGTGGTTACAGCGGTGTCCAAAGGAAAGGTGCAATTTGTGATCACGTATGGAAGCGTGTTAGTGCCACATTCTTAAATTCTTCGCATAATATGCTTACATCTACGTAGACCAAACTTACATCTACGTTGACCATTCTCACATCTACGTAGACCATATTTACATCTACGTGACCATTCTCACACCTACGTAGACCATATTTACATCTACGTAGACCATGCTTACATCTACGTAGACCATACATACATCTACGTAGACCATATTTACATCTACGTAGACCATATTTACAGCTACATAGACTATACTTACATCTACGTAGACCATATTTACATCTACGTAGGCCATACTTACATCTACGTAGACCAAACGTACATCTACGTTGACCATTCTCACATCTACGTAGACCAGATTTACATCTATGCAGTCCATGCTTACATCTACGAAGACCAAACATACATTTACGTTGACCATTTTCACATCTACGTAGACGCTTCGAATAGTAGCAGAAAAATATATGTATCAAACCAGAAATGATTTTTTTATAACTATGTACTTCTGTAGATGCCAATTCCTGTGACAGCAGTACAGGACAAGGTGCCACACTCTCCAAGGCAGACATTGATGCCTTGTACGCTAAGCCAATGAAGAAGAAGAAACATGGACAGACGAGTATGTATTACTCTCTTCCTCGCAAACCCTGCCCGTGTACGTGGGGGTCACCAATTTCAAGTAGTAAAGGTATAAAACCTGCATCAATCCGAGCTTTCCTCCCAGAATAAGGTGACGCACCGTGACACGGGAAGTGTTTTCTTGGCGTGGTAATGCTATTATTCCAGTCACAATAAGAGTCTTCGTGTTTCCCTGTATAATATTGAGTATTTTGTACAAATGTCGCTAGTATTCTGCTACTTCTGAATTTTGCTAGCATTCCCGTCAGATTAATTGACTTCGAGTTTCTCTGTATGATATTCAGTATCTTGTATGAGTGTTACTGGTATGCTGGCGGTCTATTCACGAAGCTGTCTTGCCTTAGACAAGACTAAAATTACGACTGCTATATGTGCTATTTTTTAAACTGTCTTAAACCTCTCGCAACGTTATCTCACTGACGACACAAATCGTAGCTAAGAAAGGGAACTCTTTTGTGGGGGAGGTAAAATAAGCTTGGTGTTTCCCAATGACGTCATCGATTATTCACGGAATTCCCTACTTTAAAAAAGTATTATTAATTTTAATGTTGCAAAAGTTTTAAAGATAAACAATTAACACTAACACACACGCACACGCATACACACACACAAACACACACACACACTCGCATACACACACACTCACACGCGTATACACACACTCACTCACTCACACACGCATACACACACAAGCATACACTCACACACACTCACACACTCATAAACACACACACACGTGGATGCACGTCGCTATATAAGTGATAAAGCCCATTTCACCTCACCTTATTGGGAGGTAAAATAAGCTGGGTGTTTCCCAATGACGTCATCGGAATTCCCTACTTTAAAAACGTATTAATAATTTTAATGTTGCAAAAGTTTTAAAGATAAACAATTAAACCGCTATTGAATATAATTATTGATGTTGTGATTAATAATGTAGCCTCATTTTATTGTCATGTACAATTTATCAATCATAGTATCGTTGAAGATTAATATATATATAATTCGAAAGCATAATTATGCCGAAGGGAAACGAAAATGTAAATATGAAAAATATGCGTCAATAAGTAGCAATGATCGCAAACATTACTTGCGACACATCACATGCTTTTCATGGAGCGTTACATAGGCCAGTTGCGGGACCGTCGTATTGTTGCGATACATACAGGGACTCACATTTAACGACGTTCCTTTCAATCTGTTTAGAAACTTCTACAACCGAAATAGAATGTAAACAAAGCTTGGGCAATAACCTTGAAAACAACAATGTTGAATTCAGACAAAAGCTAGTCTAAATGCTACACAGTGAAAAAATTCAACTGATATTGTTTACCACAGTATTTCGAATTGCAGCGTGAAATAACTATGCTAACCTAGGGCTAATGAACAATCACAAGAAAAAGTAAAAGCCTCTGAACACTATACCAGTCGATCAAGTTTTCGTATCGATACTGGTTGTATTTTACATAGAATGAGGTTATTTGTGCATATCTTCTCAGAATCCTAAATTAAAACATATCTTCAAGAAAGTTCGCGAGTTGAAAATGTCCGCTACCTATTGTCTCATTGAAACTCACACAAAAATTAGAATATCCTGTATTTATGTTTGTTTAATTGTTTTAGGTTCAGGATTTCCTTCCTACCAGGAATACGTGCATTATATCGGTATGGCAAAAAATACCAAGATTTGATAGATTGCATCTAACACAAATGAACAAACATCCTTTTGCTAGATGTGAGAAGGAAATCCTGAATCGTTAAAATTGAAAGTTAACGCATCCATCCATCCATACATATATGATGTCTCGTGGCTTAGAGCAAAATAGATAATTTGGTAATGTAGGTTATGTGAATAAACCTGCCTTGATTGTAAACCGTCCTTATTAAATATTTCTGTTTACACAACACTGAAGAACAAGCTTGAATCGTTTTCTTTGTCATTCAGTCATAAATCAAATGATTTTCATCCATGCCATCTACATGTAGCTATACATTATCGACAAGGTGGCCATTCCATTGGCTATAGACGTTATGGACTTCCTACGCCGTACTCAAAGTAAAAGGGAAACCACTCTCAATCGCCATAAAAAATTAACTGCTCTTGACAAAAAAAGGTCACGGCCATTGCAATAGCAGGCACATAAGCTACTTGTGTTTCACCAAAAATAAACGCAAAAGATACCGTATTTCAAGTAACATTTTGCGTGAAATGAATATTAGCTATCATCTGTTATCGACACGCAGTTTGGCATAATCGGTAAATACAATGTTTCAGTGGTGTTTGCTGGGATAAGTTGTTCGTGTTTTGAAATTGCAAGTGGAAATCACTCGGTTTGTGGTCAGAAATGATACAGTAGACCCATTCTGTCGAATCATTTGCTTCACCACGCCATCTTTTGGCCGCCATTGTACCTGTCGCAAGCTTCTAAGACAGGTCCTACCCTGGCTTAATTTTTGTCGTGAACTTAAGATAACTTAGCGCTAAGACAGCTACGAGAACAGACTTAGCTAAGATTGTTTTCGCTACGACACTTTTACGCCAATCATAGACCTGAGACAGCTTCGAGAAGAGACTTAGCTAAGATTGTTTTCGCTACGACACTTTTACGCCAATCATAGCGCTAAGACAGCTTCGTGAATAGGCCGCCTACTACTTCTGTCTCAGAGAATTTATAAGTTGGCTACATAGGTAATCGTAAGCTAAGAATTTCTTCTGTGCTATTAAGGTATGTTCGTATTCAACAAGGTCCACTCAATGGAAACGTCCTTCTCTAATCTGCCATCAAATCTGTTGACATTATTTGACGTTGTTCGCATGCGATTTTATTTCCTTCCATTTCCGTCTAGAACCACCAGCATAGGAAACCTGTTTGTCTGATGACGAGGACATAGAAGAACAGTCTATCATCTACACCAGCCTTTACCCTGACAGCACAGTTGGTCGCTTTACGTCCTGTTTCGGCGGATAATTGCAACTGATTATTTTCTGGCGTTGACGTTTTTATACACTGTATATTATCATGAGTGTACTTTTAAACTTCATAAATGTGTGGGGCGGTCGGATAGCCTAGTGGTTAAAGCGTTCGCTCGTCACGCCGAAGACCTGGATTCGATTCCCGACATGGGTACAATGTGTGAAGCCCATTTCTGGTGTCCCCCGTCGTGATATTGCTGGAATATTGCTAAAAGCGGCGTAAAACAAAACTCACTCACTCATAAATGTGTACTTCATTTCAATACTCACCTATGAAGGGACCACTCGTTTAATAACAATACACATTTATTTAACAAGTGTTTAATAACATCACATGCAGACGGGACTATTTTTTCATTGTCTGGTCTTTGAAAGGTGGTGTCTGTAGCGCTGTGCGGTTGTCCACAACGTCTACTTTTCTGCCAGATTATCTAGTAATTCTCCGGAAACACCAGAGCTTGATCCACACGGTGTGCATGTAGATAAACACTCGCTGAAAAATTGACATACTTGAATTTGTCAAGTCCGTGAGTCTATGCGGCAGCTTTTGATCTGTCGCAGGACACGTGACGAAATGCGTTTGCGATATAGTAAACGAACCCTCAATTTCGTTGGGTAGTAATGCAGGCATCGAGGTATTAAATACGTTCATAGCATTACTAATAAACAAAAAAAACTTTGTCAAAGCACCTTCACCACACTCACACGTTTATTTTCGACCTTGAACTTTGTGTTGTCATTAATGTGAAATAAAGCCAGTTAATGTATTCTATGTAGATGTGAAAGACTGATATTTCAAAATTGGTATTTTTAACTTGCTAGTTGTATCATAAAAACATGTTATTTATTTTCGACCTTGAACTTTGTGTTGCAACTGAGAACAAGGTAGACAGTCGTTAGGTCTGTCATGCTCAAGTTAGCATATAAGCCCGTGTCGTGCATCACCACAAGGGATGTAGCTTATCGGTAATTAAAAATGAATACATTTCGCAACACACAAACTGGTGACTGGTATGAAATCACACAGCCAGCGAGGTATGTCTCCATAAGACGATCGTCTCTCGGGTACTCCTCACCCAAAGCGACGGAGTGATATTGTTATGTTTGATTTGACTGTTGAATGGACCGCCTCCATGGTCTAGTGGTAGAGCGTCCGCCCGGAGAGCGGAAGGTCCGGGGTTCGTCCCCAGGTCGCGTCATAACAAAAGACGTCAAAGGATGGTACTTGTTGTTACCCTGCCTGGAGCTTGGCATTAAGGGGCTAAAAACAAGGACTGGTCGGCTCGGAGTCAGTACACTGAGTAACTGCGGCATTGTATCGAAATGGGCTAGCGCTTTAAAATCGGCATTTGTCCGGACCAGTACAAGCAGCCACACACACACACGTGCATGCACGTCGCTATATAAGTACAATAATATTTAACCCCATTTCACCTCACCTCACCCCACCTCCTGTTGAATGCACATGTTGATGACTTGGTGATCTTTGAGTTGGCTGTTATGAACATATGTTGTTTTGACAATCTTTCTTATAATCGATCTCGGTTAAAGCTACGAATATTGTATTCATACACTACTCTTATAACAGCGACGTCTTTTGCCAACGTTGGAAAATTTTCAAATGGTTAAGCGAGTAATAAATAAACTATGACACTCGTCTCCATCAGATACCGCTTCATTACTACGAGTGCATTGGGAGTGATGGCAGACCGGGGATCATACCATGGATCATGGCGTTAATTAATATACTAGTACATGTATATATATTGTTATTCAGTGTATAGGATTATTTATGGATGTTTATATACTATATACCTTTTCACAGTGATTTTCGTTTTATTCGTTTTAACAGTGTGTTTTTATTTGTCTCTGTAACGTTCTAATTATAATACATCAATTTGTTTATATATTGAATACCGTTAACGCGACTGTTCTCTTACGATAATTCGTTCATGAGACCAAGAGCATAAAAATACTAGACAGAGTATACATCCTTGGCACACACAAAATTTGCATTTTATACATTACAGACTGTAACACCTTGTTACATTTCCATAGTCCACGATGTAGAGAAATGCGTTGGAAAAATAATAAATAAAGCATAACACTTTCCACCTTTGTTGTATCTATAACGCTGTATTATATTGTAATACACAGATGTTATCGAGTGTTGAATACCCTTGCCTCAAACCAGCTTGGAATTCAGACTTGTTAACGGTCCAAGACTGGGTTGGTGTATGTTCTCGCCAGCTCTAGTCCTCAACGTTGGAAAACGTTTGTCATCAATGTGAAATAAAGCCAGTAAATGTATTCTATGAAAGACTGATATTTCAAACCTAATATTTTTAACTTGTTAGTTGTATGTTATGAACATGTTATTGGAATTGAACATCTCTAGTACAGTGGATGGAACGTTGCCCGGAGTCTACGGTCCAATCCTCTAACCGTGCCATGCCAAAGAGCAAAGCCTGGTCAAAGCGCTGAGTGAGTGAGTGAGTGAGTGAATGAATATGGTTTTACTCCGCAATATTCCAACAATATTACGGCGGAGGATACTAGAAATGGGCTTCACACATCGTACCCCGGAGGGGAATCTGGCTACCCCGCCACAGTGAGTCAGTATTATGTGACTGAGTGAGATATCCAGGTATCCAGATACCCTCACCTCACCTCACCTCACCTCACTTTCTCCGAGAACCAAATCACTAATTATCATTACCATTAAGTATATTTTGAGTGATAATTTATGATTTATGTCTGAAAGAATAATGCGCAATGCCATTTCATTGTACGGGTGTTATAAAATAACAATTTACTCAACCAAGAGAAGTAACAATATAGATAGAAAATTTATATAGAAAAAATCAGAACGATGAAATTGTCATTTTAACATGGGAACAGGACAAAAACGGTGCAGGTCTTTGACTTTCAACTCTTTGATTAAACCTACGAAGAAACTTTTGGTGTTCCAAGGATCATACGAAGGGTAACTCTGGTACTCGAACCCACAATCAGCGGATCCTGACACGGCTAAGGGACGCAACTATACAACTGCTAACAACATGAAAGAAAACCTGTTCTGTCTGTTGGCCCCGAGAATAATTACGAGCGACATTGTCCCATTGTATTCCAGGAAGAGCAAATAAGGTATTGTTAGTTTTGTTGCAGTCACTTGACGAGTTCTGTTAGAACAACAATCAACAACCGAGTATGGTGCTGACAAACCAATCAGACTGAATATAGGATTCGAACCCACAATTTAGATTTATGGAAAAGCCTACAGTACATAACTCTGCACAGCGCATTGAAGAGCCTTAGAAGAGGTGGCCAAAAGCGTCCACTAAATATCTCAATTGTGTACATTTAGTAGTTCAATGTACTGACATAGCAACAACACACCGTGCACTTGTGACCAAAACATGATAGACCGCCTCCGTGGTCTAGTGGTGGAGCAGAAGGTCCGGGGTTCGATCAACGGCCGCGCCATACCAAAAGACGTTAAAAGATGATACTTGTTGTCACCCTGTCTGGCGCTCAAAATTAAGGGGCTAAAACAAGGACTGGGCGGCTCGGAGTCAGTAGACAAGAACTATCAGGTCGGCATTAGTCTGGACTAGTACAAGCAGCCATATGCACGTCGCTATATAAGTATTCTTGCGACGTTAAACCACACTTCACCTCACCTCATGATCACCACAACATGATATCTACGGTGTTTTTTATATATGCATGTTATTTATAAATGCAGGGATGCATTGATTTTCTTATCGTTATGGGCGCACGGGTTGATCCTCATACTATCAATCACTTTATTTTACGGTCCACACTCGATTATTCACAGGTCGCCGATCGTCCTTGATCATTGCATGAAAAGAGAGTCCGAAGTTACCTTTAACATTATAAAGCTGAACATCTAATAGTTGTGTTGGGTAGTACTGTGCCATGCCTGTGGAACATATCCACTTGATGATAAGGGATGGTAATCAGCACCAGAAATAGAAACGAGAGAAATGGATTGTACAGTGCACGGTTTTATCGACAAAATGTTAGTCCAGCTTTCGGAGGAAATGTTGAAATACGACATATGTTGTTGGATCCATGGCACCGTTTTCTTCCCGATGAAAGGAAAGTTGAAACGTAACCGTTAACTTCACATCGGCATCTGTCTACATAGATACGACATCCAGATGCACAGCTTGGTTAATGTAAAAGTGGTTTGTTTCTTCCGACTGCATGATGGCTGCACTTTCTGAAACAAAATTGCCTTCCATATCACCTTCGTCATATAGAGTACACACACACACACACACACACACACACACACACACACGCACACACACACAGACGCACGCACGCACGCACGCACGCACGCACACACACACAAACACACAGGAGGCGGACCCATGCTTATCGTAAAAGGCGACTATGCTTGTCGCAAGAGAAGCCTAACGGGATCGGATGATCAGGCTCTCTGACTTGGCTGATGCATGTCATCGTATCCCAATTGCGTGGATCGCTGCTCATGTCATCATTGAATTGTCTGGTCCAGACTCGTTTATTAACAGACCACCGTCATATAGCTGGAATATTACTGAGTGCGTCGTTAATCAACAAACAAAACACACACACACACACACACACACACACACACACACACACACACACACACACACACACACACACAGAGTGAGTGAGTGAGATGGTTTTAACGCCATTTTTGAACAGTATTACAGTCATATCGCGGCGTGTCAATAATATAATGTATGCGGAAAGCTCGAAGTGATGCAGGTCTCAGACGTTTACCACTTTGATGAAACCCACGAGCACGGGTCTGGTTCTGACAAACCTAAAAACATAATAAGGGCAATCTAGGATTCGAACCCGCAATCGTAGGTTTCTGACGTGTCCAAAGGCGGTAACTCTGCTCCGCGAATTGCGGCGCCTTAGACGACTCGGTCAACACACAGACACCTACACACCTACACACCTACACACACACAACACATACCTTCCTTCTGTGTGTTTCTGCGTTTTGTCCACAATATGAGGATGGCTGCTGTGAGGACAATGGCTACAGCAGCGCCACACACTGATCCAGCAACCAGATAAAAGTGGTGTACATCAGGGTCTCCTGTAGGTGCACAAACATCATCTTGAGAATCTTGAAGTGATGATGTGGGATGAGAGCTTAATTTAATTTAAAATATTAAATATTTTCTATGATGGATAGAAGATGGTACGAATCACGACATCGTGTGACATGTGAGCTATGATCATTTAACTGTGGGGTAAGTGAATATAAGTACATCCACCACATCTCCAGGCCTCTCATTTATGTAAGCCTACACGAATCCCTTGGATCCATTCCCGTGGCTCTTGCTATCTTACATTACTTGTCTAAAATGTCATTAACATTTTACCGACCAATCAAACGCCGAGATAAGGGAAAATGGAAATGGGTAAGGAAGTGGACACAGAGACATCCTTTCAATCAAAATATTTTTGAGGGCTTTCTCGATCTTTAGCATGTCAGTGAGATTTTCAATGTTGCATTTCTCACAAACTCTATCGTTGCCAATGAGACTGGCCGCCAGGTTGTTGATATCGCCAACCCAAAACTGAGGTCGAGTTGTGTCTCGCATTCTGATTGGTCCGTTGGACCAAGTAGCGTAGCAAAACCAACTGGCTGAAAATCAAGAGCAGGTAATTTGAGATTGGGAGAACCACAGAAAAGGATCCGAAATGGGAACCCTAAAGATGTAAATGTGATTACAGTTTAAGGCTAAAACACATGATTCATTTCCGTGTTTTGTACCTTTGCCGTGTTCCTCTGTAATATTGTTTCCAGCTGTGTGACTTGTGTTCAACTTTGACGGCGGAGTGTGATCAGGGCTGGTTGCAAAGGGTGACCTTCTTGTAGATAGATATGGTGATTCATGTTTTGCTGTAAAGGTTGATCTGCTTGCAGAGGTCGACGGTGAAACATCATGTCTGACTGTGAACGTTGCCCTGCTTGTGGAGGTTGTGGGGAGGGAAGATGTCGGTGTAGATGTTGAGACAGGTGTTGTCGGCAATGACGGTGGTGATTGCAAAAATGCTGAAGAATTCATTCCTGTCGAAATGCATTTAAGAACGTGTTTGCTCTTTGTTGCCAAAATATGTTAAAATACTTGAGGCATTTGTACATACTTACTTAGGGTCGACAAGAATTAATACTACAGTCAGATAATCGAGCTAGTCGGGTTGATTCAACGTTAAGTTTTTATAAATACCTGTGAGGGTTCCGGGTACGAGATTAATAAATGGCTGATCAGGTGATCAGGTTAAGAGACATGACTGCGTGATTGCATGTCACTGTATGCCAATTGCGTGGACCAAAGCTCATCATGTCTGTCACTGGATTGTCTGGTCCAGACTCGATTACTTACGGACCTTCGTCATAAAGCTGGAATATTGCTGAGTGCGGCGTTAAATAACAGATAAACAAATAAATGGTATATTATCATGCACTATTATGCCTAAACATGAGACAGCACAATCAGAACTTCTACCACAATATGAGTCCGTGTACCGTTAGTGAAAGCCATCTTGCATTGTTTAACACTCACCTCACATATTTCACATGAGAATTCTGGTATGGAAATTCATTTTTGGACACTGTCTTGTGTTTTTATATCATTAATTGTGCAAGGACGTTAAGTTTTTTGGTTTTTTTTAAATATGACGTACGTGACTATATTGATAAAGATATTAGTTCAACAATGTTTGGCCTCTAAGGTTTGAAGAGTAGCCCCCCTTTGACCCTTGGCTTCACGGCTGTTAGTGACACGTTTTCATTTGTATATGCCCTGTGTGATAAAGATACCTAATTATATAATATTAGTGAACACATTTCGGCATAATAAATCTGTTTTGGTGTCTTTAGTTGCCGTATACGTTGTAATATTAGGTTAGCAGAAAAACATTGTGCTCGGCTGACGAAAGGCACCATTACTAATAATATTACAATGATGTAACACAGAAGCACTCTAAACGTATACCTGTTTGGATTTGGATAATACAGGTCAGGAAAAATATAGTTTTGTAGTCTTATTATCTTATAAAAGTCACATATGTAATATGTATTCATCTTCAATCACTTAGTTACAAAGTGGACATACACGTGGACATATTGATCCCCAACCAGCTACCTTTATCACCTTTATTAACATTCCTGTCCCAAGTCTCGTATACCCGTTACGTTGGAAATGATCAATCACAGAGTGGGAGTGAGTGAGTGAGTGAGCTGAGTTTCAACACCGCTTTGAATGGTATTGCACTTATATTGCAGCGTGTCAGCTTAAGGTGGGAGGAAATCCCGAAGTGATGCTGGTCTAAGACGTTTACACTTTGGCGAAACCCACGAGCACGGGTATGGTTCTGACAAAACCGAGAAACATAATCGGGGCGAACTGGGATTCGAACTCACAATCATAGTTTTCTGGCGTAACTAATGGACTCAACTCTGCACAGCGAATTGCGGCGCCTTAGACGCCTGGGCCCCCCGTGCCCCAAATGAAGTCCACAGGAGACAAGTACATTGACAGTTTGACACAAAACCCTGATCCCCATCAACTTTTCCTATGATACGAATGGGTCAACATGCTCCTGGTCACCTATAGCGGAAACAGGTCGATATATTCTTGAAAATGTCCAGGACATTTCATTATCATACTCATAAACTCATTTAACTACACATTCATTTCGATATTTGTTTCTTAGACATTTCAGATCTCTCGCTCATAGGTTTCACCAATGTGGTAACTGTCTAAGACTTGCATCACTTTGGGCTTCCCGAACATCATCTTTCGTGATATAACTGGAATACCGATCTTTTAATTGGTAATGAGCAATAGTCGCTGTGCCTGTAACAGGCAATATATTTGAAGTGTCACTCACGTATTGTGATGTTGTTGCTTTCCCCCTCCACCACGCACCACCACACAGATCCGTCGTCGAGGTGGGAGTCAATCGTGAGGGTCACGTTGTGTTGGTGGACGTCGCAACTGACATTGACCCGCCCTGACAGATACTCGCTGTACAAATCTTTGTTCAGTATGGACATATCGCACAAGGATGAAGAAGATGGGGCTGTGAAGAAGATGAGGTCCCCGTTACGGAACCAGTAGTCGTCGCGTGCTTCCCCCGTGTTGTTGCAGGTCAGAGTGAGGGGCTCCCCGTGTGTGGCTACTGAGGGGGCGCTTGTCAGCTCTACAGAACCTGGTCAGGAATACACATAAGTATTGCCTGTTGAAATACGACATAAGTTGGTGAGCCAAACAGCCAAATTAACTAAAGAAATATGACCACGAGAAGCGTGTGGCTCCAATATTACTATAAAATCAAGGATGATTGTGGTTGCCATGTTACTATAAAATCATGAATGCTTGTGGCTCCCATATTACTGTAGAACCATTCTTGGTTCCATAAAATCATCCCCATAGTACTGTCATAGTGCAAACACTCGCTTAATAATTCATATCAAAATATACTTGAGGCGTGCAGCCAGCTTATGTTAAATAACTTAATCGTGTCTCTCGCCTTACCCCGGTATACTGCGCTTACGGCATACAACTATAGTTACCTTATGACATTGGCCATCTATCATCTTAAGCATGACACTAGCAATATTTTAGGCGCAGAATTTGGGTCGTACGATGTAATTTGTTTGACTGAAACATGGTTAAGTAAAGATATTCGAAACAACGATATACAGATCCCCATTTAGAAAAGACAGAACAACACGTGGTGGTGGGGTTGCGGCTTATGTTAAAAATAATCTCTGCGCTAAAATTATAGGAAATTTAGAACTTGCCAAGCTTGAGGCGATATGGATACAGGTTAAATATAAAACTCGAAATTACTTAATTGGTACATTTTATACCATGCTGATAAATGCGTCCATTATTGGAATTTAATTGATGAGTCAATAGGCAATGCTGTTAATGCTTAATATGTTTACTATTGTTTCTGGCGACTTCAATCTAGGTATTCTATGCGAAACCACTCAAAAGATTGAACATTTACAAACTATGTACGGTTTAAAACAAATAATTACAGATCCTACAAGTGAGTGAGTGAGTGAGTTGGGTTTAACGCCGCTTTTAACAGTATTCCAGTCATATAAAGGCGTGTCAGCTTATTGTGGGAGGAAAGCCCGAAGTGATGCAGGTCTCAGACGTTTACCACTTCGATGAAACCCACGAGCACGGCTATGGTGCTGACACACCTAGAAACATAATCGGGGCGAACCGGGATTCGAACCCACAATCATAGGTTTCTGGCGTGCCAAAAGGACGCAACTCTGCACAGCGAATCGCAGCCACCTGGGGCCCCCGATCCTACAAGAATAACCCCTAATTCTAAAACTCTGATTGATTTAATATTCGTATCCTGTGTAAACAATGTAAGGTCTTCTGGTGTACTTGATCCAATCCGTAGCGATCACTGCCCTATCTTTGTTAATATTAAAGAAACTATACCCAAAAATTACACCTTCGAGAAAAATATATATCTATCCCTTGGCAGATGCAGATGGTATAAATCAAGGTATTAATGACATTGACTCGAATAGCCTATTCTCATCTGATAATATATATTAAATATTATCAATGAAGATCTGACTTGTAGACTTAAAGACATATTCGAGATAGACATTCTAACTAAGATTGTCACAATAAGAACAAATGATCTTCTGTGGATATATAAAGAGATACGCTCTCTTATTAGGAAACGTAATCGTATTCACCAAATTGCTAAAAATAGAAATCGACCGTCAAATTGGGTAAAATTTAGGCTTTGCAGGAATAACTTTTAAGTAATATCATCAGTCAGAATAGCCAAAAGAGCTCATGAATTAAAAATAGATAACTTTATAAATACTAAACATGGTACTAAGGTCAGGTGGCGATTAGTGAAAAAAAGATATCAAAACGCAATTCACAAAAAAGGCGATGTACACGAATGCTCAAAATATAGACCTGTAACACTCACATTTTTGTGGAGATCTCAGCAAAGCCTTTGATAGATTATGGCATAAAGGAACCATTCATAAACTCAGTGTTTACGGCATCCAAGGTGATCTTATGAAATATTTCGAAAGTTACTTAGAAAATAGAGTCCACAAAGTAGGCGTATAATGGTTATAGCTCAGAATCAAAATGTGTACAAGCTGGGGTCCCACAAATTGCCCACTGTCGCCTCAGGCTCGGTTACAGTGACTTAAACGCTGACATGTATCAGGCATACCAGACTCCACTTGTGGGTATCACTTTGAAGATGCAATTCACTTTTTCTACACCTGTCAAAAATACGATAATATCAGAAACACTACGCATTTGCACACACATGGGTATGATTTTAAAACGATATTACATGGCACTAGTTCAGTCAGAAGTTCTACAAACATGGCTATTCTTCAATCAGTTCACGATTTCATTGTCAAAAGCTAAAGATTTGAGTAGCTTGATTTTATGCATGTAGTAATGGAAAGATGCATTATGTTATTCCACAGACGCCACTTGCTTCGATATATTGGCTTCATGTATTTCATTTGTGCATTTTGTATGTGTATGTTTAGCACTTTTTTATATGTAACCAGCTGTAAGTTATAACCTGGAGAGATATTTACATAAGCGAGTGTTGCTTTTTTAAGAGTAACTGTTAGTCAGCATGGTATTCCGAGCGCTGGTGTAAGGACGACCTCGATCAGGATGTGCCGCTCGTAGGAAACGTCCTGAGGTTGAGCTGGAGCTCCGCTCGCCTCATGTATGCATGAGCTGGAAGGTCCGCTCATCGCTGTGTTTGTGTTATCAGAGCAGGTATTCCGCTCATTGAGTATTCGTTGTTTATTGTTTATGCGCATAAAACGTTCCGGGACAGTGATGTCGATTTTGTCATTGATTCCCCAAGAGCTAATTATCCGTCATCCTGCGCGTTGACAGCTTAATAATTCATATAAAAATATGAAAAAAATATTCAAAATTTATAAAATACACAAACATTTCTTTGAGATTGACACGCTGACCAATAACAATACAAGTAAACTAAACGACAGCTTTTGTTTTTTATTACCTCAATCCACTGTAGGTGGACATAAGTAAGGTAACCTATGATAATATTGTATCAACCAGGAACAACACAAAGGAACCATTTGGGACAATAAATTAAAATAATGTCTTCAAAACTTAACCAAGCAGAGATTGCTGTGCGTCCCTCCACGATAGAAGTAGGTGCAGTTTGACTGCCAAGTCATTCATCTATTCTATTTTAAGGAAACATTACCCTGAGACAACACGTTCGCAGTACTATAAAATACTTTAGGTTCCCATATCCCGATAGAATCATTGATGCTTGTGGTATTCATATCAATATAGAAGCATGGATGCTTGTGGCTGCAATATGTGACATACATACAGATACACACACAAACATATCTGACATACATACATACAGATTTGACATACATACAAAGACACACACACAATATTTGACATACACACAGACACACGCACACACATATTTTTACATACACACAGACAAACACAGAGAGAGATTTGACATGCATACAGGGACGTGCATACAGATTTGACATACATACATAGAGATACATACATATAAATTGACATACTAGTATACATACACACGCACACACATATTTGACATACACACAGACAAACAGAGAGAGATTTGACATGCATACAGGGACGTGCATACAGATTTGACATACATACATAGAGATACATACATATAAATTGACATACTAGTATACAGACACACACACACACAATATTTGACATACACACAAACACAGAGAGACATTTGACATACATACAGGGACGTGCATACAGATTTGACATACATACATAGAGATACATACATATAAATTGACATACTAGTATACATACACACGCACACACATATTTGACATACACACAGACAAACACAGAGAGAGATTTGACATGCATACAGGGACGTGCATACAGATTTGACATACATACATAGAGATACATACATATAAATTGACATACTAGTATACAGACACACACACACACAATATTTGACATACACACAAACACAGAGAGAGATTTGACATACATACAGGGACGTGCATACAGATTTGACATACATACATAGAGATACATACATATAAATTGACATACTAGTATACATACACACGCACACACATATTTGACATACACACAGACAAACAGAGAGAGATTTGACATGCATACAGGGACATGCATACAGATTTGACATACATACATAGAGATACATACATATAAATTGACATACTAGTATACAGACACACACACACACAATATTTGACATACACACAAACACAGAGAGAGATTTGACATACATACAGGGACGTGCATACAGATTTGACATACATACATAGAGATACATACATATAAATTGACATACTAGTATACAGACACACACACACACACACAATATTTGACATACACACAGACAAACACAGAGAGAGATTTGACATGCATACAGGGACGTGCATACAGATTTGACATACATACATAGAGATACATACATATAAATTGACATACTAGTATACAGACACACACACACACACACAATATTTGACATACACACAGACAAACACAGAGAGAGATTTGACATGCATACAGGGACGTGCATACAGATTTGACATACATACATAGAGATACATACATATAAATTGACATACTAGTATACATACACACGCACACACATATTTGACATACACACAGACAAACACACAGAGAGATTTGACATGCATACAGGGACGTGCATACAGATTTGACATACATACATAGAGATACATACATATAAATTGACATACTAGTATACAGACACACACACACACACGGATTTGACATACATATACTACCTCACAAAGAAAAACATCAAACATCATGTAAACTTCAAAGTCAATAACCACAACGCTAACATACAAAACTAGATGTTCGACATGAAATTATTTCAGGTATTACTTACAAGTTGCTGGCAGGAGAAGCTCCCCGAGTAAGAGGAAGGATAAGGCACACTGTAGGTTGAAGACATCCATAGTTACACCTGCAGGTGGTTTTCATCAAGGTGAAACCAGTACACTGGAAATGTGGAACACCGCGATAGATACGTAGTTATGTTGTAGTGCGAGACATACCCAACGCACCACAGTAGGTTATCCGCGGTATGTGTAGGTATATATACCCGTTGTGTTGATGATACGGAGACAATACCATTTTCACTATCTAAATAAAATCTGTTCTGAAGGCAGAGTTCGTTGTACGACTCCAACAAGATCATTGGCATGTGTGTATGGTTCACTATCAAGCAGGGATAACACCGGGTGTTCGCGCAAGTGTGAGCGTGCCCTGCTCCACCAGGGGGACCCGCTACACACGCACACACAATGAAAACGCTAAAGGTGATTAGCTCACCTGAAATTCCAGCAAAACGTTCGTTGAATTCACATTGAAATGAAAGGTGGTTGGGACTGCATCACCACTAAAGAATAAACACAGTCCAATAAACGCAGACAATTGATATTGCTTACATAATGTGATACCAAATCACAGAAATCCAAACTACAACGCAAGCATTCCAAGAACTCCTGAAGTTTCTCACAAAACACTCACAAAATATATAGCAACTGCTAGTTTGCCCGAATGTTTGGCAAATCATAAAGTGTAGTTTCTCGACTGTAGGAAAAGTACCGGGTGTGGTTTCAATGAGACCTGAGAGTGGCCGGCCTTATAAACGACAGTAAGACAAGATTGTCTAATTACATTTACTGTATTACGCACTAGATTCGAAAGTGCTCCTGTTATCAATATACAGCAATAACAGGACGGCGAATGTCAACATTTACCGTTGAATACCGGCTTCACACAGACCGTCTGAAAGCAAAGCGTCCTGTGAAGAGTGTGATCCCAACAGTTTACCATAGGCGGTAAAGATCGGGATTGGCAAGGCAACACCAGGGACGGGCTATGGGCCAATGGCGTTACACCATCCTTACAGACGAATCAAGATTTTGCCTCCCACTAATAGATGGCATGAAACGCTGTTCGCGACATAGCGGTATAGGGGTATGCCAGG